CTCCAAGACTGATCTTCATACATTTCTTTATAGATTAGTGGAGAGAGTTTGATAACAGATCAAAGCATTTTCTCTTTGGCAATCATTTTGTTAATTCTTTTAACCACTTCTCTTGGCAGTGTATGGGTATTGTTAGGAGAAAATTGATGTTGGTCACCGTTGGGTGTTAAAGGGTTAACTTACTAGGGTTTTAGTGAACGACCTGATTTATGGCACAGTCTACTTCAAGCATGCCTTTTCTCGGTGTAATAGGCTGCTCTAGGTGTATGTGGGGTCTGACATTTAATTTATAAAAGTCATTAATACAATTTATAGAATACTGAAATAACCATTAACTCCTTCCAAGGTTTTAGCCAAAAAGGTGTCCAGCCATACTATGGATGTCCACTTTTGGAAGAAATACAAGGAAAATTCACTTAGTCTCTTATAATTTAATGGGAAAACATGCCTTCTGGACAGCCAGTTTTCAATGTCTGGTTAAAAGCCAAACTCCTTCAATGTAGATGTGTACAATATCCTGGAAAGACACTAGCTGCTTTTTTTTTTGCAAAATGTATTTGTCGAACAGGCTGCTATAAATCATTGGAATTAAAACACGTATAATATATTCATTCATTGCAATCACATACTTTTCACAATGAATTAAAATAGCATATTATTTGCAACTTTAGAGATGTTGTTGTGGATCATTATTAATAAATTGTTTCAAAGGTACCACATCAAACTTTTCTGTAATTCATTTTGCAGCACAAGTTTTCTCTGCTAGATGAAAAAGACATCCATCTTGTGAAAAGATTTAGATTTGAGGTTAGTCCTGGATAAAAATTTGTACTGCACTGTGTTATTGGTGACCTAAGCATGAATTGCTCTATTAAATGTAGTTAGTACACTGTGTCTTATTCAAATAGTGCTTCTGTTGCTTGGAAATTGTACTTGAACCGTAGCTTAGTGCCCCTAGGTCCCACTGTCTCCTGCAGCTTTGTAGTAGTAGAGCTTCTAGACTGGTATCCAGAACGTCATAGGTTCCACTCCTGTTGGGAATACACATACTTGGATTTTTCAGTCTTCTTAGCATATTGTGCCACTGACTGAAAAAACGTCTTCTTCATGAAACAAAGTTGTTGTACAGGACTCCACTGCATCAGTGGTGTAGTATGACATGAACAGTTTTCTTGCAACTGGGCAAGTAACCTGACCACCTAAATCCTTTCACTTATGGCAAGATTATCTGTCACTCGCGCTGACTTTTAAATCTGTGGGTGAAATCCTGTGGTGTTACCATTCAAGTGAAACCACTTTGGCAGAACCTTTACATGGTACTAATTATTTCTAAGGATTTTACAAAAAGAAAATTAGAATTTTGGGGGGATATTTTTCTTGGCTACTATTTGGAGTGAGAGGGTTAAACATCATCACAAGGTGGAAGGTGGCTAGGTAGTTGGAGGATAAGGGGGATGCATTTCTTCAGTTGGCCTTTACAGTGCGTTACTGCTTCATTGGTTTTGGGTTTTGACCTCTCTGTCTTTAACAGGTTCAATTATTTTATGTGTCTCTTATACTATTCAGGGTCTAACTTTTTGTAACGAAGCAGACATACAGTTGGTGTATGATGTTGCTAATTGTCTAAATTTGGATCTTCCCCTTTCCCAAATGTACATTTTAAGTGTTACTTCATGTTATTTTGAGGGATTTTAATCCTTGAAGGACACTAGGTGTTATGTCTATCAGCAGTGGCCAGAAAATTTGGTTGTCAATTAGCTAAGACAAATACTTTAAAATTTGATACGCTGACTTGAAACTACAGTATTTCAAATTTTTATCTATAAGCTTAGTTAGCCTTGGCCAAGCTAAGAGCTGTTTTGTTTTTTGTCAAATCCTCCTAAATGTCATGATTGTATTAAATGACTGAGCTGACTCTTTTGATATCATCAGGCTAAAGTTGATGTCAACAAAGATGGTAATGGAGCTAATATTTTTGCTTATGCATTTGACCTCTCACGAGAAGAGACAAGTGGACATTACTTCCACGAATATATTTGGTAAGTCATTTTACCTTTAGTTATTTCCATTAAAGAGGGTGTATAACTTCTCAATTTTTCATGAATAATGATATTGTCAGCAGTGACAAGAATACCACTCATGAATTACAGTGCGACTACTGTAACCGGGGCCACTTAGATCACTTTGACCAATCAGATTACAGGAAAATAACACTGCATTCCAAGAAAGTTGGTTATGGGTCAATCAGCAGCTTGTAAAGGAACAAGAAGTTACTAGGAGCACAAAATTTGTCATTGAACACTGATAGCAAACATTTTTCAAGAAAGCAAAATGTCACCCAACAATGTTTGTGTTAAAATCTGTTTAAACCCATCAACAATAGATGGGTGTGGGGAAGGTGCCTGAAGAAGTGGAAGGGGGCCGCAAGCGATCTTAGAAGGTAACCATGACAACCATGAGAGCAGCACCCACCAGGCACCGTCACACTGAGAACCTCAGTGGAAAGAGGCGCAGATACTTACCAAAACAGCATCCAAAGAGGAGGGAGGATTGGGGGCAAAAAACAACTGTAACTACTGCACGCAAAAGCAACGTGAGCAAAATGATTCACTCCTGCGAAAGCACTGTAAAATCACTAAGGCCCTGCTAAACCCAGTAAAAATTTCACCAGGTTTACGTAAACTTCATTAAGACGTTTGGGCCAAACATAGGAAAATTGTGCTTTTATAAGTAATATTAAACTCGAAAATAAATTTGTAAAAGGTGAAGCAAGAGTGCCTGGCCGGGCGACCAGGAATTTTTTTTCGGTCGCCCGAAGCTAAATGTTAGTCGCCTCAGGCGACCGGGGCCATTAGAGCACAGCCTTGAAAGGGCAAAAATGTCATACATGCATGACATCCTGTGCAGGGCTGTCAAAAAGTTTTTAAGTAGCAGGCCAATAATGAATAGTAGGCGGCTCTGGAACATGCACTAAAGGCACAAGTTCTTGAGGGCCCCGGCACCTAGGGATATTTTGAGAATTAGAGCATCGAAAATGGTGTTTCCAGAGGTTTTCAAGTGGTATTCCACTGCGAATGCCAGGTTGTGTCATCAGAATACACGCAAGACTCGGAACAATGCCATTGAAATGTCCCAGGCTTTCAAAGACATTGCACAGTTTGAACGTTTTACATATCTAAACCTGTTAGAATATGCGTTCAATGTCATTCAAATCTGAGAAACAGATGCTTTATTATTTTATTCGATAGTGCTTATTTTTTGTCAGCAGTTCTGGTAGAAGGAGATGAAAGTAGCCGGTTAAAGAGGGTTGACTAGCCAGCGGTTTTGGCCGACTATCGGCCCTTATTGACAGCCCTCCTGTTGCAACCTTTTGTTGATGCTTCCAACCCACAATGTACATGTATTATGCCTGGAGCCCATAACGTGACACATGCAACTCCCATACTTACGCTGTAGCCTATAGTACATGACACGGCATGGTGTTTTCACAGATCAGTATTTTTTCAGTGTCGTTTATTTATCATTTTTAACTCGTGGGTACGCGCGAGCGTACCACGAGTTATTGCAGGGACAGGAATATGCAAATGAGTCACTCGCTCACTCGTAGTAGATGACTTTGTAATTAATCGGGTCCGAACTCGAGAGCGCGAAGATCTATCGTTTCCAAAGAAGCACGCGCTCGCCGAAGTTCGGTGACATCAAATTCCTCGCTGAGAGCGTGCATCGTGCGCTACCGCGCTGGCTTGATCTCCTACCTTGTAGTAATGTAGTAGGTTATATGTATGAATGAATGTATGGTAAATAAAGGCACTTCTTCTTCTTCTTTATAAGGACTCCCCAAGATCACCAGGGGGAAATGGATGTGATTTTGAGCATTAGCTTTAAAATAACAGCGGAAATCGAGATAACAAAACGTAAGCTTATGTTTTGCGTCCTACTTCGCGGAGGAGTTGTGTCGGCTTTGTATTGCATGTGTTCTTTCATTTTGCCATGAAATGTGTTTACATTGTTTTTTTACTGTCAGTAGCTTGGTTTCAATTAGCCTTAATTTCATCCGATTGCTTCGAGTCGTTTTTTCAATCGGTTAAGTATGGCTCGATCGTTTGCCGGCGGAAGTTCCATGGAAAAGGCATTAAATATGAGACTTTTCACAAGTTCTTGTGATCATCCTTAATGGCGTAGTGGCTATGTGAGGTCGGGTCAACTTGAAGGTACCGGGTTCAAATTCTGCTAACGACCTTCTTTTTCCCGTCTTCCTTTTTTTTTCCTTTTTGTTTTGTTTTGTTTGCTTATTTGTTTTGCTGTTTTTTTTTTGTTTTTTTGTTTTTAAATATATACCTAAATAACTGTCAATAAAGTGCAATAAACAGCAAGAAAAGTATTGTGTTTCCAGAACAAGGATAGTATATGTATAATCTGAATTTCTATCATTTCCTAAAATTTACTGTGGGAAAACCACAGGTGATATCTAATTGATTATTTTCTAAACAACGTACCCACGAGTTGACGATAGTCTTTCTTTGATTTATTGGTGTTATTTACCCCAGTAAAAATATAGGCGTGATCACACCGTGATCACGGGCGTGATCACAAGGTGTGATCTTGCCGTGATCACGCGTAAAAACTTTTTACGCGTGATCAAGGCGTGATCACACTGTGATAATAGCGTGATCACAGAAAATAGTGTGATCACGGACAGACAAATTTTTAGGCGTGATCATGAGTGTGATGATACTGTGATCACGGTCAGGAATTTGCATCACCCCTTGAAATCACGGTAACAGACGAAAAGCAAATTACTTATTAGGACAAATTTGGACACCCGATTTTTCGAAATTTCCGGGGTTTTTTGCCCCCTAGTTATTACTTAAACCAAAACAAACTGGTTCCCGCAAAGTGCAAATGTTAAAAGCCACATCCCTTACATGCGGCGTCATTCATTACAAAGCAGGCTTAAAACAGTGGTTTAATTTTAATAACGCTTCAAAAATTACAAAATTACTCCATGTAAATGTTACGCACGCTTAAGTAAACATTAAATCGTAATTTTTCACACAGGCAGCTATAACGCCTTAATTACTGGCTAACCAATGTTCTTTAACTATGGATAAGATATTTAAGATTTACTGCTCTTATCAAATAATGTGTAAACACATTCGTAATGTTATAAACGATATAAGTCCTCTAAATGGTTCTTTAAACTTATCCTCAGCAGTGGTGCAGGTTTTTTTTTTAATCCTTGCTGGTGTTAACCCCTGCCCACACAAAACACCTGTTGTTTCTCACCATTCTACATTTCTCATCTATAGATTTTTTAATCTCTGTCCACTTGAGATTTTCGTCAGCAGGGAACGACATCTCTGTACATTCCCTCACTGCTGCCATTCGGTTTGGGTCCAGTTTGAGAAGTTTATCACCCTTGCCTTCAACGCTGCCCAGCTTTGCTTCTTCCCTGCTGAAGACAAGTTCGAAAAGTTTAAGGGCGAATCGTTTTGGGCTGCTCTTTGCGATTTGGTCCACGTTTTTCTTTGCCACGTACACTCCACGGCTTGGGGAACCAATTAGCATTGTGGACTCTCTCTCATTAGATGGCTTTTGCAATTGGTTTAGGCTCTTTTGTGGTTGTGAAGTCGTCAAAGGTGAAACTGGGCTGTTTGAGGCAGAAGCTTTTGGTGAAATAGAGACTGAGGGACTTGGTGTTAATTCAACATTTGACAGCTGGTCCTCAAAACTGATGTCTGCATTGTCCACTGCTTTGTAGTATCTCTTTTTACAGGCTTTACATTGCTCAAATTTCCTTACAGCATCAGTGAGCTTATGAAGCTTAGCTGTCATCTCAGACACTTGGTGGAGGATTTTGTCCACTTTTTCTTCCAGGTCATTGTCAAATTTTCCAGTTCCTAAACCTAACGAATAATGGGGGAAAAATATGGTCATTCATGCTTTGAGTTCATTGCGGGCAAATTCAAGAACAGTGTGTCGGGAATCGCACCCGTATTTGTAGAAATCCACGACAATGCACTTGATGTAGCTTTATTCACAAAACCCTAAAGTCACAGTTTTCGCAACTCACTCACTCACAGATATTTTCGGCACAACAACTTGGTTGAGATAGCGTGATCTTTTATAAAGTGACTGACATTTAGTATTATTTTGATGATACCAATTAAGAAAACAAAACATCCTATCAGTTGTCACGGTTCACTTTGTGACAGTTCCTTGAACTTAATAGTTTTCCTGTGATGAAAATGTCTTCAAATTAAACAGTTACTAGCCCTGTTACTAGTTGTGATCTTGCAGTCGACGTTTATAGCACAGCCTCCTTGTAATTATTTTTTGGGAACAACTTTTGTCAATTATTTGTAGTTTGAAAGGATAAAAATCTCGTGTGTTATAATGTCAGTGTATTCTGTCAACATATTTGTGACAATATGGTACATTTTTTCGCATTGTCATGTCATTTAGACTGAAGTGAGGTGCGACAGACTCACTTCTGCCGCATGGGAACGCTCAAGAAAGACAATCATATGCCTATGTATTTTAGAAAATCTGAATTTCTGACAAGCGTAGAATGACGACAATCAAAGGTAAGTACAAAAACTGAAATTTTGTCATTTGTGGACGGCATAAAAATCTTGTGAATCACTGGTATCGATGTGCCAACTGCCATGATATACAAGTTTGTCACGAGAAAAAAAGTAAAAAAGGCAATTTTAGACTAAAATATAGAATTAATATAAGGTATCAAATTTTCTGAAAATAATTATTTACACTTTAGGCAAGGAGTTAAGTTAATTTAACTTACCCTCTTTTTCTAGACTTGACTGATCGCTTGGCTGAAAGTCGTTGTTAACATCAACTTCGACTTTAGCTGCAAATTCGCTATCCAGGGTAACAGGGACGGTGGTCTTACTGAACTCTGAAAAAACAAGTCAAAACAATTCAATTAATCATGTCTTATAGAATTGCAATAGCATTTCTAACAAATGACATAAAATCGCGTTTTACTTTGCAAAGTTCGTCCAATGAATAGACCTGATTCCACCTGTAGGCATGAAATATTTACGTACGGCAAGTTATCAGCTTTTGTATTGACATGTTTGCTGCTGACAATGAAGAATACAAATGGTAGAGTAAGTGTCTTTCAGACTCAGCCGGCTTGGTCATTCACGCAAAACAAAACAAGAACAGAAACAAAATTCATTTCAGTTCGTTGTGTTTTTATTATTGTTTAATATACAGTTACTTACCTTTTGAGGGCTCAAGTACTTCAAATATGGCCACCAGGTCATCGGTTGACCAGTCATCACATATTCGACCATGTTCTTCCATTTTCCATTCTTGTCCTTTAATAACCAGGAGTTGATTGTCAGATGGAATTCGCGTCGTCTTTGCTATTAGGTTTTTTAAGGTCTTGAATGTGGTTTCCGGCTCCACAGAAAGATTGAATTCAACGGGTTTGTCCGTTTCATTTCCATGTAGGAGAAGCTTCATGCCAAGGGAAACCGTCTTGCCAATGTTAATAGACTGGTTCTCTGCAATTTCAGATCTCGCTTTCTTTTGGGCTGCATTACTTAAGCCTTTGTCTTCGTTTTCCTTGTCTTTCTTCGCCTTATGTTTTCTCTTCTCCTCAGATCTTGACTCTTCTCGGTTTTGGCGGGAAATACGGTTGGTTATTTGCTTCTTGGCCGCCTTCGAGGAAAGCGCCTTCTTTTGCCAATTGGCAAGAACGGCTTTTTCTTCAGCTTCTTGGTCAAATGACTCTGAATCGGACTCAGTCATTTGAAGATCTTCTGCGTGAACATTTTTCAATGAAAATTCGCGAAATTCAGGCCGTGGTTTTTTCGCTGTTGGCTGCTCTGTAAGATCTTCAAAGTCATAGTCATCAAATTTCTGAGGTTTCTTTCGTCTCCGTTCCGATTTATTGCTGATCTCGGCCTTTTCACGCGATTTCTTAAGGCGGTCAATAAATTCGCTACACTCTTTCTTTGTGCCCTTTTTAAGGTTTTTTGCCGTAAAATAGGCCTCTGTAAGCTCCCCATTTTCATCCACAACTTTCCATAGAACCCGGGTAGAGCCATTTTCTTCCTTAACCTTGCTTTCTGGCACAATGTGAGGCCCTCGCGACTTAGCATCCTCTAATGGAAATTCTACTGCGTAAAAAACTGCCATGATTCTACAACCGCCTAATCAAAAGACTCAGCAATTACCACTGAAAGATTTAGGTGAACACCAAGAGCTCGCCAACTGACCTTGAGAAGATTTCAAATGTCCCGCTTTGAATTCAATTGACCTGTCACTGGAGAATGGGAAAAATGATATTGAAAGAGCAGGGATTGGTTACAAGTCGGTGAATGTCACGATCCTCTCTATGGTCTAGTCACATACTGAAACATCAGCGCTGTACATTAAACGTTTTTTGAGGTCAAACTGAGAATAAGTAAAAATATTTTGTCCCTTAAAGGGAAAAGCTACAAGCTCAGATAGTGGATGTGATTTCTTTTTATTTGCGTGAGTCATCATGAATCAAAACATTCCTCGTATTAATTTTTTTTCCGGTTGAAATGACTTTGATGACAGATAAGTATAAAACAGCACGCAAATTCGTTAACGTAGACTTGTTTCGATCAGCTTTTTTTAACACGCTGAGTACAGTTTTGATAAACACATCGAAATCACATTACCTTTAAGTCAAAGCAGATTGGATATGATGTCTCAACCATTACAAATACGTTTTTTCTTTGCGTCATTTACCATCCGATACTCAAGAATCCCATTCCTTCCAAGATGATAGATAAGTTTTTAATCTTTTGCGGCACCGACCGAATGCCTGATGTAAAGGATTTTATCAGGTATTGCAGTGATATTTTGCTTCAAAGTATGGATAACCTCGACAGTTCTTCAAGCAGCGAGAAAACATATTCAAGTTCTGATGACGAAAATGAAAACCCAGGATATGGGGAAAGCAAAGTCAAAGAACCGAAACAAAAATCTAGACAGCTTCGGTATTATCACAGAAAGAATGAGGGCAAGATGAAAAGGAAATATACACCTTTCAGAGATCAAAAAAATCCCAGTAGGCAACTAAAGAAATATCATAAAGATGTCGAAGCCGCCTGCAGCACTCTACCAGTTTCACCGATGGACACTGCTGAATCAGTGGAAATAATGAGTGATACAGACATAAATGAAGAAATGAAGATCGGCATGACTGAGGAAATTCAGGATGTCCCAAATGTGATTTCTTCTGATAACTTCGAAGATGAAGCTGCCCTCAATACCACTTCTTCATCAGAGGAGGAAAGTGAAACATCATCTTCAGGTAGTGAAGATCGTTTTTCCCAAAGTGAACAGGAGGAGATGGAAGGGATGGGCCGTGAACCAGCAAATTTGAACAAAACTGCGCTTCGTGACGAGGAAATGCCACTTTATCAAGGCAGCGCAATATCAAAAATTTTATCATGTGTGCTAGTTGTAAGCTTTGTTTTAAAGCACAATTTAAGTGCAGCAGCCTGGGCAGATCTCCTTCGCCTGCTAACCGCCTTTCTTGGAGACCGATGTAGACAAACATTTCAGTCAGTGTACAAAATGAAACTGATCATGAAAGAATACTTTGGCTCCAAGGAACCAACAAAGATAAATTACTGCACTAACTGTTTACAGGCTGTTGAAGACAAGTGCCCAAATACCAAATGCTCCAAGGCAGGAATGTCGAGTTTTCTAGATTTGCATTTAGAAGAAAAGATCAAAGACCTTTTTAGAGATTCTGAATTTATGAACTTATTAAAGAAAGGAAAAGAGCAGGTAAAGCGTGCAGCTAGCTGTAGTAGAATTCATGACATATACCATGGACTTGACTACAAGAATTTCATACATCCTGGGGGCTTTCTCTCACAATTGTACAATATTTCGTTTACAGTTAACACTGATGGAGTAAACAAATATTCGTCTTCTAGGGCAGGTCATTTGTGGCCGGTTTACATCATGATCAACGAACTCCCTAAAGAATACCGATTCAAAAGAAAGTTCATTATTCCTGCCTACATCTATTGCGACAAACACGATCCAAACATGTTGACATTTCTCAACCCTTTGATTGAAAAGCTCAATGTTCTCAATTCGACTGGAATACATGTATCGGACAGTGCAGATGGAGATATCAACGTCCGATGTATGTTATTTCTAGCAACAGCCGACTTACCTGCACGAGCTGACTTGATGAATATGAAACGTTTTAATGGAAAATGCGCTTGCCATCTTTGCAAGTCAGAAGGAGTTGGCTACGGACCAAACAACATCCATAGATACTGGCCATTTGAACAAAGCCCCATAAAAAGGACTCATGAAGATCAGTTAAAATTTGCATCAAAGGCCACAATTAAGCAAGCGGTGATGGGAGTCAAGGGGCATAGCATTTTCGCAAAGCTTTCGTATCCGTTTGATTTGGTGCGTTCATTTGCAATTGATTGGATGCACTCCGTTTGTCTTGGAGTCGTAAAGTACATTATGCATCTACAAACGTCTGATGGAAACAAGGACAAAGTCTTTTTTATAGGGGCAAAGACTCTGTCTATGTCCCATAAGCTTCTTTCGATAAAGCCGCCAGACATTGTTGGGAGATTGCCCAGATCATTAGAAGATCTTAAACACTGGAAAGCCACAGAACTTAAAAACTGGCTACTGCATTATTCTGTGCCAGTGTTGTACAAAATCTTAAATCCTCTGTACATTTTTCACTGGTCTCTTCTTGTCGGAGCAACTGGAATCTTGTGTTCTGATTCAATATCGAACACAGATCTCAAAGAGGCAGACGGCATGCTACAAGACTTTGTTCTTTTAATGGGAATACTCTATGGGCCAACAAGATGCACCATGAATGTCCATTTATTGCAACATTTAGCTTATTATGTTTCACGTCGAGGACCTCTATGGGCATACAGTTGCTTTGCCTTTGAAAGCATGAATGCTTTTATCAAACCACTAGTTCATGGAACGCATCACGCTATGGAGCAAATTGGATGTGCAATTGGTCTTTGCTTCGGCCTTTCTAATTTTACGAAAAAGATTCTACAGCACAATGACATTCCTAGGGACAGCAAAATGTTGTTGCGAAGTCTTACTGGTTATTCTAAAAGTTCTAACAAAGTGTCTGTTAAAGTACATGGGGGTTACTTAAGTGGAAAAGAAAGAAGAAAGTTGATTGACAACAACAACCTGACCTTGGTACGGATCTTTGTAATAGCAAACAAGTTACCCGCAGATTATGAACTTGAACCATATCGCAGATTTGAGAGTGATGACGGACAAAAGTTTTTTTCTTTGGGCACGAAAACACGCAAAACTGACTCAACTGTAATTGAATATTTTGACAGAAACAATACGCTTTGTTATGGCAGAGTGACACACTTTTTAAAGATACACGATTTTGGACTTTGTGTTGTCAATGAACTGGAAGAAAACTCTGAACCATTACTATTTTTTAATGAACGTGACTGCATTGAAACCCTACAGTCTTTAACTGATGATAAGCAGAACAAAGATATCGTGCGTGACATTTTGAGAAAGTATCGCAATAGATGCCTTGTGAAACATCACGTGCACATCAAACCAAGGTCCGGAAGGGCATTTGTGATATCTGTTCAGCAGATAAGACGTAAATGTGTCTTTATTGATATTCTTCCCAACAATGCGTTGATGATTTCTCGTTTTCCCAATGTAAATGAACATAACTAAAACTGTGCAAATATTGATTTTCTGGTAAGTCGTTACTGTTTTTATTTGCCAGATGAGTGCTAAGATATGCTGCTACGTGGTGTTGTTTTTTTAAATAAAGTTTGCAAATTATTTTTACACTGAAATGTGAAGTTAGCTCCCCTCTTTGGTTATCGTAAAGAAGTGAAACTTCAACTCTGTTCCTCTTTGAACTAAAACTTTGTTATTTAATTTTGCCCGTACCAAAGTTTGTTTTTTGATTTCATCGGTTATATCTCCGTTACTCAGGCGGTTTCATGAGCATCCCATCACAGTCAGCCTGTTCACTGCATTGTCTTAAATTCAGCACATAATGGGCTCCAGGTGATAAATTCATACATAATGGAAATCAAAATTCAAAATTTGGGGTTTTAGTTGAACAGCTTTACCCATTCTATCCATTCTGTCAATAAATGGCGCATTAACTCGTAAACAGGTCTATGCGATTAACCGCGGCATATAAATTGCTGAAACATTTACTTTCAGTCTCTCTTAGAGTGATAAGCAGTCCGATCAATTAAGACCGTGATACGTGATCACGCCTTCACTGATGAAAAAGGAGTGATCACGGGTGTGATCACTCTAATCACGCATTTATCACGCCTTCCTTTTTTGTGATCACGCTAAAAGGAGTGATCACACCCGTGATCACGGGCGTGATTTGTGATCACTCTGTGATCACAAAATATTTTTACTGGGGTATTCACACACTTTTTCACAAAAATATGGGATGGTTTTGTCCGCCTGTTGGAAAAGCTAATCAGGGTACATGCAGTGCTCGACTTTCAGAAAAAAATTTTGGGGCCAGCTGGCCCCCAAGTTTTCATTTTTGGTCGCCAGAACAAGTCTTCTAGTCGCCAAATACTATATTTAAGAACTAATGGAATACAATAAACTTAACATCTTTTACTTAGCCTTAACAGAAAAAGAATGCTTTAGACTTCCTGTGAACTTTCTTTCGAACGGTTTTCGCTCGAGGCTCGATTACCAGCCGTTGAACCCGTACTCAGGCGTAAATCTCCTCAAACAGGTATTAAAGCAATGGAATACACATTTAGATAAACAAACTCTAGGAATAAACAAAAACTTATTTGAGTTATTCAAGAACAAAATCTGCAAAATTTGTTTTGCGTCCCATGTATTTGCACGTTCAGAAATGAACATCGGTGAAACTTGATCTATTTCGCGGTTGTGTAGCACGTGATCGAAAGTCTCTTGAAAGAGGAAACGCCGCTAATGTTTTCGGGCAAAAAAGTTGATTTCGCGAGAAGTCTGTTAGACATTCAGCATGAATTCAACGGTACTTCATTACAAGTCAGTAAAATACGGCAGAGCTTTTATTTGGGTCGTCACGCTCAACAGAAAGTTGTTTACAAGAAGCTCGAGAAATAACTGAGCGCCGTTGGCTCTCGATTAGCTTAAGCTTTATCAGACTAATCTGCTATCGAGTCCGAAAATCGAGAAACATGTTCGACATATTAAGAAACTGTTTTAAATCGATGCGCTGAAAGTCATTCCCGGAGAAACACGGGACGACCTGTTGAGAATTGCGATCGATTTGCCCGAAAGTCGATAAGACCTCCGTCGAATTCAGCACTTGGGATTTTCACAATCCTCTTTCAAGTAAAAGTCAAGTGTTAGACGGACCATCTGTTAGATCATAAGAACAATCCTTTAGAGTGTTGGAAAAAATCGTTAAAGCGTCTAAACAAATCGTTAAAACGCCTTTTAAACGAACCGTTAAAGCGTTTGGGCAAAAGGTTAGAGCGTTAGAAAAACCGTTAACTATCCGTTAGTTTTGTAAAGGATAACAAATTATCATTAGTGTACGTTTTCCCAAAGAAGAAAGTCACCTATCTCGGAGGCCAGGTTGGCGACCAGGCGTGAAAATTTAGTCGCCACTGCGTAAAAGCTGGTCGCATTGGCGACCCCACAGGTCGCAACGTCGAGCCCTGACATGGGTGGAGATTTCTGGGTTACAGCAGTCATTAGTGAAGAATATTATACTTACTCATCTTTTTTATACAAACAATGGAATTTTTGACCTGGCAATAACGAAAAGGGAAGCACTGCTTTATTTTATCATATGAAGTATAATTATGAAAAAAAGAAAGAAAATGCCCTTTAAGCATCAGAATTACTATTTTGTGATCTTGAGTTATTGCTGATCGGAATTTGTGGGAAAATAAATCTAAAAATGACTTTGTGTTAGCCTGTGTTAGTGCATTATATAGGTCACTATAAAACATTATAAACCTTTTGAAGTATACAGATGAAATCATGGCATACAAAGCCAACTACTCACAGAAATCACTGTGGTAGTTCTCTTTAGCGACTGTCAAAGTAATTTTAATGTTGAGGTTAACGTCCCTGCAATGGACTGTCTTCCCATAAAGGGGAAATCCTGGGGGATGGGTACTTAACAGAGTTTTGCAGGAGAGGCTCCAGTATGTTGAGCCACTTGGTTTGAATGTAGATTTTACCTTTTTAACTTTCGAAAATGTTACCTTTAATTATTCTAGATATTGATTATTTTTAAGTGACTAAACCAATGTGTTGTTCCGTTTGTCAGGGAAAGACATTGTGGTGGAGTAGCTCCTGGTTTTAGAGTTTGTCACAAGAATGGTGTTACAGTGGGTAAGTATAAAATACATACAAAAATTACCTTGTGAGAATTAATTACTTAATTTATTTCACACATAGAGTTACTGTAGGTTTTCGAGAAAATAACATACTGCATACAAAAACAACAACTGTACAACAACCTTTATAAATTTACATGTTTTGATAGCCATAGCCATAGACATGGACATAGTTTATTTTGCCACAAGGAGGACAGGAGTCGCTACTTGTTAAAATGCTCTCGTGAAAAAATACAAAAGAAATATGTTGTTAAAAGGAATAATTTCAAATATTTACAAACTGTCAGAATTATTATTTACATATTAAAAATTTCAATTATTCTTCATTGTGTAAAAGGATCTAAAAATAATTATATAAAATACATTAGTAACAATTAAAAATTATTGACACAATTAAGGGTGTAGCAAAGTGGCCAAAAATGCATGATAAAAAATTAAATTTGATTCTAAAAATAAAGCAAAATATCTAAAGATAATTATTTTAAGAGCACATTTTGCCTCTGTCAATTCATTCAACTCTGGTTGTTTCTTTGAAATATATATTTTTTTCTGAAACGATGGACATACCCATTGTCTGCCACTGGGGGCATTTTGAGGGTGATGTCTGTGTTTTGGTATCTATCCTAATCAACAGTTTGCTATTAACATGCATGGCATATGGTATACACTTTATGTATCCAACTTCGTTTGGACTTACATGTAGTACATGTCCTTTTTTTTACATGTTATTTTTCAGATAACCGATTGAATAATTTGTGTATAGTGCCTTCTGCAAATGAAAATTCCAATGTACAGTTAAAGTGTTCTGAAAGGTTTGATCTTTGTTTATTTTATTATCTTCTGTATTTCATCTCCTCTTGGATTGGTTGACAGTGCTAGTGCCATGGGTTTAGTCAGCCTCAGATAACATACAAGGGTTTTTTTTTCCTTCCAGAAATAACAACTGTGGAAGTGAACCAAGAGAAGACCAAAGGCTTTATTGGATGGCTGTGTCCAGATTGCCACCATTTGATGCAGAACATGAGGTATTTCTTACAACATTTTTTAAACGGTTTTCCCATGGGCATTTAAAGTGTTTCCAGCTTACCATCGGATTTATTATCTTCCCCAGCCCTCCCCCAATGAAACCTGATTCTGGGCACTGATGGGGAAAATAGCTAAGGAAAAAAAGAGGGGTGACAAAATAATTTGTCATGTGGCTAAATGTAATTTAGGCACGGTTAAACACGAGGCAATGCTGCTGGCCACAGGTCTCCACCACTAATCGTATTTTGGGCAGTCTTGGTCTTATATTATTTGCAGGGCTTTAGTAATTTTACAGCTCTTTCACAGAAGTCAATCATTTTTCTTGCGTTGCCTTCGTGTGCAGTAGCTTTATCCTTTTTGGTTGTATGTCTTAGTTGGTAAGTATTTGCACATTTCTCTACTGAGGTTCTCAGTGTGATGTTGCCTGATTGGTGCCGCTCACAAGGTTGTCATGGTTACCTTCTTGGCTTGCTTGTGGCTCCCCTCAGTTTCCCCAGGCACCTTCCTTCCAGTGACCCATCAATAAATTTTTTATTGTTGATGGGTTTAAACTAGTATGATGCAGACCCACAGCATGCACTTTCTCTGGTAGAGTTTTTCAAGTTATTCTTGTTTGCTGTAGAAAAAAGTTTAGAAATGCAGAGCTGTGATACAAACTACACAGTACTACAGAGTGAGTTTGTTTGCAGATATGCTAAATGAGCCAATTTTGAACAAAGAAAAAAAGACAGCAAGCTTGACTTTTAATTTTTTTGGCTTTTTTTCTTCTAAAACTATCTGTTCCTTTTTTCTTTGCTTCCTCATTTTTCCCCTTTTTTCTGGACTTAAGTAACAGTTTGTTCTTGTAGGTAATTTTAGCAAATGTTACGATCCTAATGTCTCTTTTTTGCCACTAAGTGAAAGCCCTTCACCTGATGTTGTATTGTTTTTTTGTGTGTGTGTTTTATTTGAACAGAATTACATGAGCTTAAACTACAAATATTATAATGCAAATGGAGAGCAAGTAACAGAAGAAGGTGGGGGAGGAGTCTTTTGCTACTAATTTAGAAGTTTTTGTAAAATCCAGTGGTACATATTCCAACATTATAATATTCTGGTCAATCTTGTGATTCTGATGGCTGGTTTCTATAATTTTGTTATTGCTAAGATTGCTGGAAAAAAGTTATGTGATCACAGTAATCTTGTGAAAAACATTTCTTCGTGTCAAAGAAAACATGCTTAGATGACTGATCAGAAGTCTTGGAAACTAGATATTACCTACATGTAAAAAATTGTCATAATCCTTTATGTTTGTCATTTTATTCTCCCCTTTTTCAGATGATTCACTGTCATTTTATGAATGTCATTATCCACCATGTTGCAAAATTGAAACTGAGGTAACTATAGTGAAGCTCTATTTTAGTCAGTCATACTGTCTCTCTGAACATACATGATTATATGTACTCATCTTTAGTCAGGACACATGAGTTCATGGCACACACTTATTCATGAAGCCCAAGCTAGATTGTTATTTACCTTGATAAGCACCTGCACACATTCATTGTCTTCTTGTTAGAGGGTCCTCTATTCCCCTGTGCAAAATCCTTAGACAAAATGTGTGTAATAATATTGACACTTTTCATGTGTCACAAATAATTCCCTACGATTTCTTCAGGTTCACACAGAAATCAGGTACCAGTAGTTTGCGTTTCACAGTAAATTGAATAATAAATTTACAGGTTAGTGTTTCCTGTTGATTAACCCTTTCACTGGCAGAGTGCTTGATGAAGTTTTGTAAGGTGACTCTAACTTTTGAGTCTGCAGACAAGTTCAAGTTCAAGTTCATTTATTCACACTTATTCAATTACAATACAACACGCGTTTAACTCTCCACCCGCCATCATGGTCGCATGTGATCCAGTAAAAAGGAAATCCCATGATGTGACCATTCAAGTGAAAGCTCTCTGCCTGTACTTTCACATGGTGCTATTTGTTTTTCAAAATTTCACAAAATAAAATTTGGAAATTTGGTTGAAATTTGCTTTTGGCTAAATTTGGCAGTGAAAGGGTTAAGCTGTTCACACTCTAAGGGTAATTCGTTTTCCTTGAAATCTCATCCAAATGTAAATGGCCAATACTTCTGGTGACCAATATGCCCGTAAGGCGAGTTTACATACCACAAATTGTCTGCCTGCCAAAGAAAAAGTTAATTTGCATGTTTCACAAAAAGGTAGCCCCAATCATGCTCAACAATAAAAGTATGGGGGACCATGTTGTTTATATATGAATTCTTGATGTTATTTGTTTGTAGCTTCGGGAGTTCAGCATTTGTGGACAATGCCAACAGGTGCGATACTGTGGTCCCCTTTGCCAGGAGGTGAGTGAAAAAAAAAAAAGAAAAAGAAAAAATTGTAAGTTTTAATGTATTCCCACAGGGAATCACTTTTACACCAGCTCGGAGCCCTGCAGAACAAAATGTTCTGCAGAATTTTATTTTTTGCTAGCCAAAATTCTGAAAACTGTTGGAATTGTCTTCGTTAGTGAAAGGATATAATAAAAATTGATGGTATTGGCAATCGCATACATGTAACAAAAATAAAAATTACTTTGTGAAGTAACGTTTGTCCCATGTTGTTTCCTTTTTTCAGTTTTACTTCTAACTTAGATGCCATTTACGTATGTTGTAGTATAACCTTTTTTGTGTAAAAGGAGTCAATCTAACTTCAAAGGGAAGGGGGAAGAGAAATTTGTGAATGTAGCTGTTGGCCATGATAATTTAAAATAAAAAGGATGATAATTTTGGCAAAATTGACTTTAAATGTGCACATTGTGCAAAGTTGAGGGGCCTATGATAATTTAAAAAAATTCCAGAAAATTTTAATGATTACATCCTTTCATCGTTAGTTTCTCTCTCCATTTTTTGTAAAATTTCATCCTGTAAAAAAATGTGTTACTGACACTCAAACAGTTTTTACTGAATACATTCATAATGTTATTTGTGGGACCCTTTACATTAATTTTGTACAGTTGTGTTGCAGAGAATAAGGAATTTTACTTGAGCACAGTGTTAGCAACATAATATAGTTGCCCTGTTTTGTCACATTATTATCTTGTTTTAATGAATAATAATTATTCATGTATTCATAAATAATAATAATAAATTATTATTTTAGCCCAATGGCTTATTTAACCTGGTTTTCCCAATTACATTTTTCAGAGAGACTGGCCATTGCATAAGAAGTACTGCAAAGAAAAAGCAAAACAACGGATTAGTTATGAGCTTACTCCAGAACGTTAGGCATCAAAAACCTTACCCTGCGAGCAGAGGCTACATTTTCACTTTGTTAGCTGTTGTGGAAAAAGTAGCCTTTTCCGACAACCATTCAATTTTCTATCATGCATGCGTGAAATTTGTCACACGATTCGCAAGCAAAATTAATCGTCAGGTCCGTCGTCAATTGGCGCGAGTTTTGTGGGAATAAAAAAATTGCGACAAGAACTCTGATCTGCTACACAAGACAAACGCAAGACTCACGCAATGCTCTAAACTGGTCAAGAACAGGAAAAAACCTGTTTGTTTAATATATTCGTCCAGATTTCTGGACAGATTTGAACGGTTGTCAGCAGAGGCTACTTTTCGCACACCAGCTCACACAGCGAAAATGTAGCCTCTGCTCACAGGGTACAAAAGCCTACAACCATTATGTGTAATAAATAATTATTCTTGTACAGAAGAGAGTGAAAAAACTGTTATATTTAGGACATAATTATTGTTATTATAGTCACATTTTAGATTTTTCAGACTTGTTCCCTTAGTTACTGGTATTTCTTTCATAACTGAAAAAGTACAGGTCTGACATTGACTTTATTAATAGCCTTGAAAAAGTAGGGTTTTTTGTAAATTAAATAGATAGAGTTTCCTCTTAGTTGTATATTAAGATTTATTTAAAATAACTGTTTATTTACAAGTTTTATTATTTTTTTCTGACCACATTCATGTTACAGAATTGCCATGACCTGTATTCTTAAAATAACCAAGGGTGGATTTAGGGTTGGGGCCCTGGCCCCCCAACCCCCTTTATTACACATTACATGTGCAATATGGAATCCAGGCATTTGCTAAATTTAACAGTCCAGAATGCACTAGATTGCATCTCACTCAGAGAATTTCAATCTCAAAAATCTTTCTGGAGGAGCATGTGCCTGTAACTCCCAAGAAAAGTGTGCCATCCGCAGTCCTGATGGGCACTATTGCGCCCATATTGTGACTGTATACTATATCTCTAGGCCCCTTCTATCACAACATCCTCCATCCGCTGCTGATAACACTGGTCTACTGGTTGTCAGGAAATGTATCTTCCAGATTTTGCAGTGGATACATACATGTTTGTAACCAATTTGAAACAGAAGAAACCATGATCAAGGCTTCATTGTAGCCAACTGTTTATTTTTGCCTGTGAGTAACCTCCCCTTTCGTGCATATTAATAATATTATAAAAGTTATAATGGATGTGCTGTCAAATAGTGATAAAAAATGAGAACATGCAAATTTAAGAAGTGATAACTTGTTGTAATATTGTACCTGATTAAAACACGGCTGAATTTGCATTAATTTCATTTTTCTTGGACTTTGAAATCCTAAACTGACGGAGCGGCTGGTTTAAAATTAGTAGTCACCAGCATATGCACAAGTGTGAGCATAAAGGTTTGATAATTCCACTGTTGCAAAGTATTGTTCTAAATTTAAAATATGTGCATATGCACATATTTTTTTCCACATACAATACGCAGTCACATAAAAATTACAGGACAGTGGAAATCCACCCTATTTTACACACAAGGGACCAACACATAAACTAGTAAAAAGTTGAAACCTTGAACTCTCATATCTTTGCTTTGTCCAATGCTGGTGAATAGTCATTTTCGCAAAAGTACCATATTTGGGATTAGAAGAAAAGATACCAGTAACTCATTAACCAAACTTGGTGAAGGACTTGAAGCAATTTTACTCCACATTCAAGACACTCCAAAAATGGGAGCTTATGCAACAACGACAGTGACGGCTACAAAAACCTCACTTAAAAAGCGAATTCTCGCTGCTTCAAACTTTAACGCGCTCACTATCTCATTCAGTGCGTCAAATTTCAGCAAGTTATTTTTTCTTGGGTTGAATTCTTAAGAGTGTACCAAAGTTCAGGAAAAGAAAAAAAAAGTTGTTTTCTTGTGTTGTTTCCCCCTCCACAAAACGTGGAATTAGGCACTTTCACATCGTAGTTGTGCACTGATGGCAAAGAAATGTACAAAAAAGTGTAATGCACATGTAAGTTGTTGATAAACCTCCTTTTTTGAAGCTGCATCAAGGGTTTCCAAAATCGTACTTAGAAAAATGAATATTCACAAGCATTGAAATTATATGCCTTACACATTTCAACCCAATATGAGTTTCTGATTGTACTTTTGCTGCCTTGCATTATCCTGGATAAAATGTGTAGTCCAACCATTCAAGTCACAAACAGAACATTTTTTTTCCTTTTCTGTACTTTCAGTCAATGCAAAAGTTCTTAGATAGTTTATAAGCTAGAAGTCCATATCTAGACAGTATAAATAGTACCATAATCTTTGAATCTTGATAATTATTTTGAGTTCTTCTCAAAACTGAAAAGACAAGGGCAGTAAGAATTACATTATTAATTCTCCTACTAAGTCATAATACAGCATAACTACTAAGATTTGACCAGAAAAGGTTAAACCCTCCATGATATATTGTCCTCTGTTATCCAGTAACTTTTGTTAATCCAGTCAAATCTCTTCTTAGAGAATGGCTACCTCATGTCTCAACAACAGCCCATTAATTTTTTGCCCTGAAGACATTTTACTTTCATGTTAACCTCAAAGCAAATGGTTCTACTTAGCTCTTTCCCTGAGGCTGTCTTGGAGAGGTTTGACCTTCTGGAATTTAATTTTATACATGAAAAAAGGACACTTGTTTCTATTACAGCTGTTATAATAATAATCTAAATTAAAGTTTGTTGTGAAATATGCAATATATTATAGCAGTAGTGGCAGAGTCTAGTTTGCTGACTAAAGTTACTGGCTAGACACTTTGAACAAGAGAAGCAAATGTTCGTAGTAAATATATAAAGGGCCGTTACCTGGAATTAAGCCTCCAGTGACTTCTTGATTCTACTTCCAGAGAATTTGATATTTAATGTAGTAGTCATGTGGCATCTTTTTCAAGCCACACCTGTTCAGTTGCACCATTTGAGTTACAGTCAATTAACTCTCTCACAGTGAACAATTCCTTGTTAATAACACAGGATGAGTTTTGATTTGACTTCTACATCTGTATTGTCTGTAAGAGTACATTTGTTGTACGGTAGTCAATTTTTTATCTCAGGCAATTTTTGTTTTTCTAATTTGTTTTTGGGTATCATGTATATGTATTCTAATAAAGTTGAAACAAAGGAAATGTAACACTTACCTGAGATAAAAAATTAACTACAACATACAAAATTAACTACAATATACAAGGAAATAACTTTGTGAAAATTAATGGACTTTAACTGTAAGTGGAGTTGCAGAGATCAGCCTTTTTTAATAACATTGCTACAGCCAGTATACCACAAACTCTGAAATTCATGGTCAACCTGCTTCTTTTTTGCAGGCGAACAAAAGTGTCTCTCAAGTTTTCGCTGCACCAAATTAAAACTGCTATATCAAATAATTGATTCACTAGATGCCACTCTTTTGCAGTACTTAACTCATCAGTTAGGGTTTGGCACATGTTTTTATATTTTTATACGTTTCGAAGCATGTTGCATCGCTTGTCATCTGAAAGCTTGAATAATTAAGCTTTAAACTCCAGTGGTAAAATAAGCTTTTCATTAGTTTCTATTGCATCACAATGGCCTTTGGTCATTGAATGCAGATTGAATAACCGATTGTATAATAAGACTGTAAACTTTTCGCGTTGAGAGTTGTTGTCACTCATTACTGTTTTCATTGTATCTTTGCCTGCTGCTCTCTCTCCTTGCTCCTCACAATTTAAAGACTGATTGTAGCTAAGCAACTGTAAATAAAATCGTTGAATTAAATACGAGTCTTGTTTACTGTGTTGTTCAATTCCAAGTTCATGATGCACCGTGATTCCTTTTGTTGACACTGGAACTAAAAGGGCTTTCTGTGATTCACGCACACACCTATGAAAGTGGTTCTCATCGATCACATCTCTAAGGTAACTGCATATGTTCACCAGCACTTCCTAACCATCAGTTACTGCTAGTTACATAGACACTTGGAAATAACACTCAAGCAAGTCATTCATTGAACTGATGGCCCTGAATCCCATTGGGATTGGGATGCTCAGAATCTGAGTTGAGTAATATTAGTGAGGTGAGGCTTTACTCCCCTCATGTTATTACTCTTGCCTCACCCTCCTTCCCTCCTGAGTCCTCAGCTTTTGGGCCAAGGGAATGGTTGCTCTTCAGACTAGAGCTGTTTTAACAACACAAGCAGGACAGTTTCTTGAAAAGGAAAATTGGACTAGTCATTGAATGTCTTTAAAATCTATCAATACATTTATCATTGTAGTTTTTTTGTAGTTTTAGCAAGAAAAATATGTGAATTGAACACGACCTCAGGTGCTTAATTTGCTGCTCTGCCATTGATCATCAGAAATACACATGCTGTCATCACTGTTGTTGTGTTGTCTTTGTTAAATCTGCCTAATTGAAATGGATAAGTGTCATAACCATGAATCTCCCTAAGGAAAGACTTGTTCATCATCTACCTTCTTGAAAAAAACAGTATAATTTATGTCTGTGGTGAACGAAAATGTCATTTCACTGGCCTGTCAAGAAACCTAGGGGACTCTTGCAAATTTTGGGCCGCAGACAGAGTGGCAGGAAGGGGCTGACAGCAAGCTCCATGTGTTTTAATGAGAGATTTTTAATCAAAGCACTTTGATTGAAAAACACAATATTAAAAATGTGGAGTAAAAATCTGCTGAGGGGTAAACTATGTTTTTGTTTGACCAATGATGAATTTATTGATCATTTAATAAGTGCTTAATGACTGGTCCTGAGGGAAACAGTTAACAGTTTCCCGAGGGACCAGTCTTTAAGTGATTTGTTATAAAGTGAAACCCTGTTACTATAAATCACCAATGGGCCACAAAAATTTGACCGTACTGAAGGCAAGGCGACCATAAAAAATGATGGTTTTTTACAAGAAAATGTATGGCCATTTTGCCAGGTGGCAAAAAAAAGACGCTGTAATAATGAGGTGACCGTATTACCGAGGTGGCCATAAGGCAGGGTTCCACTGTATACCTGGAAATTCATTAAACCTTGCTGTAACGGTAGTCATCAGTCAACATTCGCAGGTAACATTGTTACCCTCTGACATCATAGATTTTGCAATGTTACCCACGCAGAGATTTTGGCAGGAAACAGTTTCATTGTTAGAACTCATGTGACCCTGAAGTAACCAATGAGAGCACACGCTGTTGAGAAAAAATTTCCAGATATAAAACAAAATAGTTTGCTGTTTTAATTGATAACTCTCACTTAACCAATATTGACTGACTTCAAACTCCCATAAGGTTTTGATGCTTTTGTTATTTTCTTGAATAATATTTCAATCTAACAGTGAATTAATTTCTTGAGATAGTTTTTTAACTTGCTCAACAATCCTTTCTTTGTCACCAGTATAGAGTCTATTACCGCATTTTTGCAGAAATTTATCCGGGTGCCACCTTACTTGCTGTTCTTTCAAAAACTTCTTTCTTCCTTCTTCTTCCGATATCATTTCTGACCACTTAACAATAAGATTAATCATTTCTGTAGCATCACCTAGTTCTCCAGGCCAGGGTATATCAGTAAACGTAAGATCTGTCCTTAAACCACTGTCAAAGATTGTTTGACATTGGGTTTCATACTCAGTCTGAGATGCTGCCAGTTTTAATTTTTGACGTTCAACTGACATTTGCGTCATGTAAGCCTCATGTTCCTGCTCAAGCTCTTTTGTCCTCTTTCTTGCCTCTTCTTGTTTCTCATATCTTTTCCTTTCTGCTTCTTTGTGTTGTTTTCTTTCACTTGAAGCCTTCTTTTGTCGCCTTTCATGCACAATCCTCTCAACCCATTCATCATAAGACTCGTGAGCTGATCCGTGGTAATCTTCCTCGCTGTATTTACAAAAATCTTCTTGACCAACTTCAAACTGCAACTTCCGTTGCCATTCTAATTCCTCCTCTTGTTTTGACATCTCCTCCATTTCAATTCTCCATTGCCGTTTTCTCAGAGCCTCTTCTTCCTCTCGCCGCTGACAGTAGGCTCTTTTTAACTGAGTAAGACATTCCCTTGCTGTTTTTCCGTCGCTATTTTTCATGTCAAGAACTTGACGACTACATAAATTTAATAACGGTACAATCAAGTCATTGAATGCAGAAATCCGCGAAGTTTCTGAAGCGTATTTCAAAGCAAAGTGAAGAGGTGTATTCCCATCGCTGTCTATAACTTCCACATCTGCTCCGTTTTTCAAAAGTAACCTCATTATCGCATCATTTCCGAGAAGACAAGAAGCATGGAGAGCAGACCTTCCTTTACGATCCACAATAGTAGTTAAGTAAGATGGTTTGTATTTCTTAAAAAGCGATCGTACGCGATGTAGTTTCCCAGCCTTAATGTAACGAAAAAGTTTTTCCTCCGTAGACTTACCCATGATTTTCTGGCTGAAGAAAAAATGTGTCAAAAATCCGCAAAGGAAAAGGTTAGACTACACGAAAAACCGCCATATTGGAATTTTAACATCTAGAGCCCAGCTGCCCGCTCGGGTCGCTCTCACCTCATTTCTCTCAAGCCTCATTTCCAGGATTTTCTTCTTCCGGTTTGAATAAAAAGTTAATAAAATAGCTCAGCTACATTGCCAAGAATATTCTATTTTTACCAGCGAAATAAATCTACTGGACGGAAAAGCGCTGATCATTTCATTGCTCTGATGCAAGATTCGAGATCTGGTACAATCCGGTGCGATCTGATGCAACAAACAAAGAGAGCTGAGCCTGCTATTACATGTAACAGGGCAGCGTTTTTTCACGCATGCTGACGCATGCTTTATTCTTGGCCTTGATTCGTAGTTCAAACACTTTTTACTTTTGAGTACCAAGCTAAGAGGACGGTATTTCTTCAAAATAAATATGGCTGAATCTGACTGGGACTCGGTCACATATCTTCGCAAGAAAACACCAAGGGCAGCTGAACTCCGATCAAAACAGGTATAATAAATAGATGAAGTAACTGGTTTTTTAGCTTTTGTACTGTGATGATATACAAAGCTTTAATACAATAATCTGGAGTTGTGTTCATTTGCACGGAGCATTATTTCGTTATTTTTCTCTTGCAATTATTGTTTTTTCTTTTTACCTAAAAACTGAATGTCTTGAGGGTTTTGAACATAGTTAACTGGGACAAGACCTGACTAATGATAACTATAACAAAATTCTCTAATTTGATTGGCTATCAGCAGCCAGCAAGATCCTCCCTGTCAATTCTGGAATTCAAGATCATATCTGGGAATGTCATTTCCCTTGAATGAACAGGGTCAAATAATTTCCATAGAAGAAGGGTCAGGTTTAGGGGCGTTATCAAGGCTAAAAATTTATAAATTTATACTTTATTATTTTATACTGCAACTTTAGATTTAGATGTAAAGGCTGGCATTACTTATTGGGCATGAATAACAACACGTTTGCTCTACATGTTTGAGGCGAATTTATATCAAAAAAGCTCCTGGTAGATTCCCTATTTACTTAAGAGAACGTGAAGTGGTGAAGGCACCAAGCAGAGTAGGTTTGAACCCTGGAAGTGACATTGGGTTGAGTTTGTTGTTGGTTCTTGTCCTTTCTTTAAGATTTTTTTAATCTGTTAATAATCAGTTTAATAATTTTCCCCTGTCCTCAAAATTTAACGTTTCCGATTCCAGTTTAATCAGGAATGGTAAACAAAGAACCACTTAGCACTACCTCAAAATTGTTATTTGATTTATTTCTTATTTTTAAGGCAGTTGCACAAGCACAAAGACATGGTGGTGCTGTAGAAACAACACAAAAGTGTAAGTTTATGCCCCCTGGTGGTTTGTATGGTTGTAATGGTAGCGACACTAGGTAATGAAAATAAAGAAAATGATTTCATCATTGTCCTGTTTTGCAAGTGAATTCTCCATGCTGTACACTAGCAGTGTATACAGAAGAAAAGAGGAAAGAAAATGTAATGTGTAACAATTTTGTTTTACTTTTAGATGGTGCTGGTGCAAACAAGCAGCACTCTTCTAGCAAGGATACTGCTAAACTTGATCGGGAGACAGAAGAGTTACATCGTAAGTAAATTTATCATGATGTCTGTGTGCACAGAAAACTATTCCTGATAAGAATCAGTGAAGCTAAGCACGTTCAAGTTGTTTGAATCATCACACTCCAAATTAAGTTTTAGGTGATTGTTCAGTCATGACAAATGTTATAACCTGTAAGCCAAATCAAATGCTAGTGAACTATTAAGAACACAGCATTTTAATTTATTCATAGAATTCCTTGCAATAAGTAAAATCTGTAAATAATAACCTTATTGGTACTTAATTTTGTGGGTCTTTAATAACACATTTTTCTGTGGGTTTTCTTGTGTGGCATGTATTTCAATATTATTTTATTAAAAGTTGTTAAACTGAACAAGATTTTGAGGGATAGTCTCTTGACACGTCTAGAACAAAAAAAAATGGTCTCCTGACCTAAGGTGAAGCAAGTCCATATCTGATAAATTGTTTTGAAGCAAGTCTGAAGACCTCCAGTGAGGGGCAGAGCTTAGCACTTTATTTCTACGGCATTTCTTGTTCTTCTTGGTGGTTGAACTGTCTTGGTTATTATTATAGTTTGCCATGTTTGCAGTTTTACACATGCAATATGTGGGCTGTGATTAACCTATAGTGAGATGTTTGCTGGAAAAATTTCACATTTTCCATCATGATGATGGTAAAATTCTAATTTTCTGTAATAGTAGAATCCTACTCACTAAGTCCTGTAAAATCATTCACATACAGTTTTGTAAAGTTAACGGACAAAAGTCAGTTTGAGCTATTCAAATTTTTATCAGATGAAAAAGTTTCTCTTGATGTTGGAAAGCTCATTCAGCAGATGAGAATGGAGAAGAAATTAACACAGAAGGACTTAGCAACGGTAAGATGACCATTCAGCTACAGTGTTGTAGACATGACATCTTCTTAGCACCAATTATATAAATACCAGAATGGTAAGTGTAGGAAGTGGCATAAATGGCATAGAGTGCTGCAAAATTAACTAAGTGTCAGGTTTTTGATTTATTGCCACCTTGATCCTTTCTGGATTCAGCAGTGCAACCCAAAGGTGCAGTTTTAAGGTGATATTCAGACCACAGCATACTAGACCAGTCTGGCCCAGATATGGACTTCAACTTTATTTGAACCTCTCAAAGTCAGTTTGGCCATGTAATGTTAGATCTTTCTTTTTCAGTTTTATTTGAATGTTACATTTCATATGCTATTTTCAGTATTTTCAGGGCTAAAAATTGCGGCCTGTATCAGGCACATTTGCGAATAAAGATTTCACTTATGTGACTAAAATTTCTCCATTGGTAGCGATTTTGCGACCGTTTTATAGCCTAGCTTATAAATAAATTATATTTAACAGCCTTGTGTCTTACTTGTTACTGGCTGCTGTACTTTTATCTGAAAAATCCAGCGGAAAAATTAAGGAATTACTCACAAATTGTGATGCGGACTTTTTTTAATTTCGAGCCCTGCTTTTTTAAACCACTGAAGAAGAAGGATCCCCCTTGAAACGTCTTATTTTCCTCCTTTTTCAGAGGATATTTTTAAAAACTTTGACATTTGTACAATTAATTGCATTGCACAGTTTTTTATAATTGTTTCAAAATTTATAAATCTGTCTTTGCGAAGATTTTTCAGACCCATATAAAACAGTTTACTGGTAGATAATGTTAGCGTAAACGTATCCTTGGAGTTTTGAGCTTACAGGTGTTTCACCTTGTCTTCTAACCATCACCATTCTATCTTTATTTCTCAGAAAATCAATGAAAAGCCTCAGGTGATAATGGATTATGAGTCCGGAAAAGCAATTCCGAACAATCAAGTGATGAGTAAAATTGAGCGTGCACTTGGTGAGTGTAAGGAACAATACATTACCATTTTGTCTGTGTTTTGTTAATGGTAAATTGACCCCAATTTCAGCATAGGCTTGGCACCCATGTTAACCATGCATACCAAGCATTCATGGTATTCTGAGTTAGTATTTAACTAAAAGAGGTGGTGTTCATTGGTGATTTTTTCCTTTTTTAAATGTTGCAGGTGTCAAGCTTCGTGGGAAGGACAAAGGGAAGCCGTTAGCGCCTGGTGGCAAGGGGAAGAAGTGACACTTTGCAAAGCTTGTGTTCAATATCATTTCGCTCCTTGCCAGAGAATGAAGTTCAGGATGTCTGTTCTCCTAAAGCAGCATAATTTTATTATATTTACAATAAACTGCATTTTGAGCTCTGAAAATTTGTATGTCAAAGCAATAATCACCGGTATCTACCACATTTATCATTTTGTTAGCGTGATTCCATCTGTCACATGCCTTGTTCACTTTCATTGGGTGCAGGCATGAGTGGACATTCGATTGAATTAAAAGTTTTCAATCTGCAGGTGTGAGGGCTGGCAGCTAGATTATAATGCATCTCATCAGGCCCTAGTTGTTCAAAAGCTGGATAATGCTATCCATCAGATAAATCTCTATCTACGAGATTGATATTAGGGAAACCAATTGCACTATCCATTGGATAGAGATTTAGCTGGTATATAATGCCATCCACCTTTTCTTCAACTGGACCCAGGTCTTTAAAGACGCTTAGGCTGACGGCATCTGATGCTTAGAACCTTGATTCTTCGGATCAATTTAGGTTTTTGGTAAACTTCCTATTTACCCCTCCCTTAAGCCATTATTTTGCCCTAAGTGAGAAGTGTTAATGTTAGCTTAGGGAAGGGGTAGGTGGGCGGTTTCCCAGAGAACAAAATGAGCCATGTCCAGCCCTGGCCATGAAATCCAGAGTTTCTTCACTTCTTACTTAGTTCCACACTTCTCAGAGGTGTGGAAGTGTGGAGTAGTCTGACAAAGTAAGGATATTGTCGCACTTTTCCCCCAGTCATGAACCCTTTGTCATTCTTTACTTAGTTCCACACTTCTCAGAGGTGTGGAAGTGTGGAGTAGTCTGACGAAGTAAGGATATTGTCGCACTTTTCCCCCAGTCATGAACCCTTTGTCATTCTTTACTTAGTTCCACACTTCTCAGAGGTGTGGAAGTGTGGAGTAGTCTGACGAAGTAAGGATATTGTCGCACTTTTCCCCCAGTCATGAACCCTTTGTCATTCTTTACTTAGTTCCACACTTCTCAGAGGTGTGGAAGTGTGGAATAGTCTGACAAAGTAAGGATATTGTCGCACTTTTCCCCCAGTCATGAACCCTTTGTCATTCTTTACTTAGTTCCACACTTCTCAGAGGTGTGGAAGTGTGGAATAGTCCGACAAAGTAAGGATATTGTCGCACTTTTCCCCCAGTCATGAACCCTTTGTCATTCTTTACTTAGTTCCACACTTCTCAGAGGTGTGGAAGTGTGGAATAGTCCGACAAAGTAAGGATATTGTCGCACTTTTCCCCCAGTCATGAACCCTTTGTCATTCTTTACTTAGTTCTACACTTCTCAGAGGTGTGGAAGTGTGGAATAGTCCGACAAAGTAAGGATATTGTCGCACTTTTCCCCCAGTCATGAACCCTTTGTCATTCTTTACTTAGTTCTACACTTCTCAGAGGTGTGGAAGTGTGGAATAGTCCGACAAAGTAAGGATATTGTCGCACTTTTCCCCCAGTCATGAACCCTTTGTCATTCTTTACTTAGTTCTACACTTCTCAGAGGTGTGGAAGTGTGGAATAGTCCGACAAAGTAAGGATATTGTCGCACTTTTCCCCCAGTCATGAACCCTTTGTCATTCTTTACTTAGTTCTACACTTCTCAGAGGTGTGGAAGTGTGGAATAGTCCGACAAAGTAAGGATATTGTCGCACTTTTCCCCCAGTCATGAACCCTTTGTCATTCTTTACTTAGTTCCACACTTCTCAGAGGTGTGGAAGTGTGGAATAGTCCGACAAAGTAAGGATATTGTCGCTCTTTTCCCCCAGTCATGAACCCCTTGTCATTCTTTACTTAGTTCCACACTTCTCGGAGGTGTGGAAGGGTAGAATAGTCTGACAAGTTGAGTTTAATGTCACACTTTCCCTGAGTCACGAGAAGCTCAGTGCGCTTTATGAGCACTTGGTTTTATTTCTGTATGGTTTTTTACATTTTTCCTTAAGGTCCATTTTTATTTTGAATAGTAGATATAACCATTGTTTCAATGCCAGCCGTTGAAAGAAACTTAAAGTTAAGAAATCCGATCTCCAACCAAGCTTTCTTCCTTATCAGTACGGATTCAAATTTGATCATTGTTAGATCACGCCATATATTCACTGTTTCGTAGTTTTTCCTCTTCTCTAAGATTAAGTAAATGCTGGACATAAATTATGAAATAGGCAAAGTGTCCTCTGTTCATTTTCCTTGTCATTTTTGCATATTTTGACAGCTAAGAGAAGGAATGCTCGCAAATTTCTGTGTCAATCTGTAGGTGGAACACTGCGAAAGGATTAATGACCGTGATTAAATAACTTAGTTAGTGATAGGATTAAAATAAATTTGTTCTGGCCAACGACCCCAAAAATGAATCTCAGGTCGTTCTAGTACTAAAAAAATTAATAACAATTGCTCACCACATCTTTTCCCTCTCATTACCCCTTTGAGCTCTTCTACGTTGTTTGCGTTGCAGGCGAGTGGCTCGAGGCCAAAAAACCTCGAAAAACAATTCACCTTAGAGTGACTCTCTAAAGACGAAGAGGAGGATGAAACATGCAAATATTTTTGTCACGTGCCGCAGAGATAACATAAATATTGCCGACCCTATAACACGCACCTAAACAGTGATCCCCCTTTTCCACAGAGAGATCTGCAGGTAGCTACTCTAGGCCGATAAGACACAATTATTACTTTATACAGTATGCTGTATATTTTTAGACGAATTTAGGTCATGAACCGGATGTAGGATTATATCAATAACAATTGATCTGAGCTTTTATAAACTTTATCAAGTTGATCTTAAAGCGAGGAAAATAGAACCCAGATACTCTGCGTTCTTTACGGCCCAATTCAAATCTCCCGGGGTTAAGATTCTTTGTGTATTGTATTTGCATTCTAATGTGGCATTCACATTTTTCAAAATGATATGGGAATTCCTGAAGCAAATATATGGCTCATTAAGATGAAAAATTTCAAACATACAAAACCAAAGATAAGATGACGTTTTTTAGGTTTCCGTTAAAAAATAAATAAAGAAAGAAATAAATAAACGAAGATAAAGGACTGACGGGGACTTCGTGACAGAGAAAACGTAGGCTTATTTTCTGGTCGGGTATTCAAACAGATGGTAGTGAAACAAGGCTAATATCTTCCAGTCACAGAATTGTTGTCTAAACGTAAAAATGGCATTTAAAAAGATGTAAAATCAATTGCAGAAATAAAACCAACTAATACTCACCACTGAGTGAAAATAACGAAAGAATGTCAAGGGTTCTAGACTTGGGGGAAAAGCGACGACATCCTGACTCTGTCAGACTCTTTCATACTTCCACACCTCTGGGAAGTGTTGAACGAAGTAAAGAATGACAGAGGTTTCGTGACCAGGGGAAAGATGTGAAATTATCCTTACTTTGTCAGACTTTTCCACACTTCCACACCTCTGAGAAGTGTGGAACTAAGTAAAGAATGACAAGGAGTTCGTGACTAGGGGAAAAGTGTGACATTATCCTTACTTTGTCAGACTTTTCCACGCCCGTAAGAAGTGTGGAACTACGTAAAGAATGACAGGGGGTTCGTGACCAGGGGAAAACTGTGACATTATCCTAACTTTGTCAGACTATTGCACACTTCCACACCTCTGAGAAGTGTGGAACTAAGTAAAGAATGACAAGGGGTTCGTGACTAGGGGAAAAGTGTGACATTATCCTTACTTTGTCAGACTTTTCCACACTTCCACACCTGTAAGAAGTGTGGAACTAAGTAAAGAATGACAAGGGGTTCGTGACCAGGGGAAAACTGTGATATTATCCTAACTTTGTCAGACTATTCCACACTTCCACACCTGTAAGAAGTGTGGAACTAAGTAAAGAATGACAAGGGGTTCGTGACCAGGGGAAAAGTGTGACATTATCCTAACTTTGTCAGACTTTTCCACACTTCCACACCTCTGAGAAGTGTGGAACTAAGTAAAGAATGACAGAGGTTTCGCGACCAGGGGAAAAGGGTGACATCATCCTGACTTTGTCAGACTATTCCACACTTCTACACATCTGAGAAGTGTGGAACTTGGGATGAGAAAGGAAAGTAGGGTTATTTTACACTTCCTCACCTCAGACAAGTGTAGAACTAAGGATGAAAAAAGAAAGTAGGGATCTTGTGGCCAGCGCTGGACATTTGTGAATTTTATAGGTGAGTACCCCTCCGGGATGGGAATGGGTCAGTGTTTTAGCTGTTTTAGGGGCTTCTATATAAGATGGCCTACATCAAAAAATGATAGGAAATACGTGTGTTTCCGACACAAACAAAGGAACTGATTCTCGTACCTTTTTTAAATAAAGGTCAGTCCTTCTAATTTATCTAAGTTCGTTTTCTCCACCTTGCCGTGGACTTGGGAATACTANACTTTGTCAGACTTTTCCACACTTCCACACCTGTAAGAAGTGTGGAACTAAGTAAAGAATGACAAGGGGTTCGTGACCAGGGGAAAACTGTGATATTATCCTAACTTTGTCAGACTATTCCACACTTCCACACCTGTAAGAAGTGTGGAACTAAGTAAAGAATGACAAGGGGTTCGTGACCAGGGGAAAAGTGTGACATTATCCTAACTTTGTCAGACTTTTCCACACTTCCACACCTCTGAGAAGTGTGGAACTAAGTAAAGAATGACAGAGGTTTCGCGACCAGGGGAAAAGGGTGACATCATCCTGACTTTGTCAGACTATTCCACACTTCTACACATCTGAGAAGTGTGGAACTTGGGATGAGAAAGGAAAGTAGGGTTATTTTACACTTCCTCACCTCAGACAAGTGTAGAACTAAGGATGAAAAAAGAAAGTAGGGATCTTGTGGCCAGCGCTGGACATTTGTGAACAAAATTGTTCCAATTCTTCTTTTGTTTGATACCCAATACTACTATAGAACACAAAATAAACAGAATGGCTCAGTATTGTGAACAGTATTTAATAATATTTATATTTAAGTGCAATATCAAGTTTTTAACCCTTGGCTATGAATAATGAGCAGCGTGTGAGGAAAGATCTCATCCCTTGCTCGCTTGGTAAGCAAGCTTAGAAGGAAGGGTACATTTGTAGGCTATAGAGTAGTGACAAAAAAGGTGTGGGTCAGTAATGTTTAGCTTGTGGGCAAAGTTCAAAAAAACTCCATACTGGTCTCCTGATGAGCTGTCTTTGGAAGTAGTTGTCAAACAGTAAAGTTTACTGATTAACTTGGAGTGCGTACTGCCTCTGGAAATAATCGGTCGGTTATTTAAGTAAAGTTTAAGTTAAACCGCGATTTAAGAAATTTTTGAACCTCCAGATATCTTCCTCATTGGGTAAATTTAAGGAGGTAAATGCATTTCTAGTCTATACTATATGCTTTAATGCAACCGTTCACCAAAAATGGTGTTAAGATAAAAGCGTTGTGCAAACTGAAAATGACTTAGAACGCCGTTGTGTTAAGCACGGGTTAAACTCCGTTTAAATAACCGGCCCAATTTGTTTAAGAGGACATACGTGTCCAACAGTAAAGTTTACTGGAAATTTTATTTTTTAATTTCGGGTCATTTAAATCATTCACGCGCTTGTACGACAAAACTGCCAGCTACACCGTCAGGATCCCTCTCCCCTCGCGTGTCTCCCTCTCGCGCGCCCGTTCTTTTTTGCCCACACTACTTCCAAGCGCCTGCTACGCAGACTATCTTGTTACGAAAGTCTTCCAAAATGGTACAATGTTCGTGAATATAAGTTTGTTTTACTCGCACACGAGATCCTATGTCACGCAATGGACGGCGACAACGTTATGTGGTGGCCTGTGTGTGTAGAGCCAACCCCTCCCCTCAGACAAAATCGCCCCTTGGCGGCGCAATTAAAATCGCCTTTCGGCGATTCTTGTTTGAATATATAGACCATTAGTGTTCCTTGTGCCAGCCCCAACGGTGTTGGTTTAGTGAGAACTGACTGCCGTCACCAGTTGGCATCCTAGAATAAGTTGCCACTCCTGGATCAAACTTCCCTCCCTTCTCATACCTCCAGTTATTTAAAGGTCAGGACAAGGTCTTTAATTTTTTTGTTCAGCACTCACTTGTGTGTACGATAGCTAAGTCCACTGTCATACAGTGTTCGGCACCAAGACGCTCAAATAGTGGTAAGATTTGATGATTAGGGCAGTCACATAACTGTTTACTATCGATTTTCTTTTATTGTTTAAAAGATTGAATTTTAAAACGGGTTGTTTTAAAAACAGTCACATAAAACTATCGCGGGAATTTGAGTAAATCAATAGCTCTTTGATTTAGTCAGAAACAGTGGAACTATTACCCACGGACTGAAAAACGGTTTTTCTCTTCTCGATTTTCGTTTCTCAAACTCAGTCAGATAACTGCAAGCTAGACGTGAAGTCAGTCATACTTGCAAATATCGTAAGACTCAGCTCAGACGAGTTCTGTTCTCTGTGGCAGCGATTAATCCTTAATTTTTCTTTCTTTGTTTAATTTTATGCATTTACAGGGATGTATTTCAGCTTTTAGTGCAAAAGGAAAGCGCAAACAAACTTTTTAAACAGCTACATTGGCGAGCAGTTCATGTTTATTTTTCAGCCACTAACACTGGCGGAAACAGATTAGATCATCCGTTCTATGGCTTCGTTCGCTACATATTCAGGCTTATCATTTGTCTGAAATCATCACCTTATTGTCTTACGTTAAACACACACTTCATGTCTCTTTTCTCCAGCCTTTTACATTCCTTCGAATTTGTAGGTACAATTATATGATTGTTAGGCCTGAAAAAAGCGTGTTCCCGCGTTTTTAGTCAAAACTATACCTCTTTGAAAAGGTATTAATTCGAACAATGTAAAAAACTCGCGATTTACCCGGGTAAGGGGAAAGAAAAGTTTGAATTCTAATTTGTTTGAACAGGCCTGGGCCAAACGTCAAACTTTTCATGAGACGTGAGTTAAGTTCATGAAAAGTTTGACTTCTGGCTCAGTTAAGTTCGTCTGAATGAATTTTGATCGTCTGATACGTTCTATATATCCGTTATCTGCTTCAGACGCAGACAGATGGAGCCTCCACCCGAAAAATACCCAAGTGCCCCCCCCCCCCCCCCCCCCCCCCCCCCACCTCCCCCCCCCCACCCCCCACCCCCCCACCACCACCAAAAAAAACACAATTCGACCCCCCCAGAGCAACCAATTTCTCTTACTTAGGTACATATTCTGGTTCCCACTAGCAACACTGGTCCACACCCGCCCCCCCTCGCGCGGGCCACCGCGCGTGCGTGGGGAAAATCTGATACTTTTCTAGAGAGTGTATATAGTGTATAAAAAGATTTTCTTCTGGGTCCAGTTATTTTTTCTTAAAAAAATTTTGTCGTTTTAAACGTTTTTTTTATCCCTGTTCTGCCCCACACCCACAAAAAAGGGGCCCCCCCCCCAAAAAAACCCCAGCGCCCCCCCCCCCCCCCCCGGGCTGAAGATCTTCTCCGGGACAAACACCGATTAACACGCGAATAACTAAACGTATATTTAGCCTCGTTCGGGAGAAACTTTACTATTGATCTGATTCAGCTGATTGTAGCCTGCGAAACAGACGTTTCTCCTCGCTCATCGCCGCCGGGGGACGCTTCGCGAGGAGGAACGTCTGCGACTCAGCGACAGAAATTCTATATGATGACGTAAAATCTGTCCGGAATCTGGTCATAAGTGCTGATTGGACGTCGGAGTAGTTATATTGTTCTAACTATTGCTTACGAATGCTAGACAAAATATAAACGCAAGGGAGTCTATAACAAAATAGTCAATATTTCGGGAATATATTTCCGTTTCTAGAAGAAGCATTTGAGTTTCACCGAAGCTCGTTCGCAAATGAACTCGACACTTTACCAAAATCGACCAGGAGAAACGTTAAATTGAACAAATTTGCATCTGGAACCCCATGACCACCGGATTTATTATGTTAACATTGATTTGCATTAATAAATATTGACATGCCTAAATATCTTACTCAGTCTTAACCCGGCCACTAGTACATGGCAAGATTATTCAGTGCCCGCCGAGTATAACTCTCTTTTAACTCTGTGAGCCAAATTCCATCTTGGTTTTACCATTTCAGTGAAAGTGCTTTGACAGGAAATTTTGCATACTGCTATTTATGTCTAAGGATTTTACATGAAGAAAATTTGGATTTTGATGTGAACATATATTTTCTTTGGTTGGAATTCAACAAGTTTTTGTTTGTTCCTTCAGGGGACAAAACTCATACGCAGGCAGAGTATGGTGAGTATTGTTTTTTTGTTGTTGTTGTTGTTGTTCTATTTTTATTGACAAACACTCTGCAAAAAGAAAGTGATGACATGCACTTATCTGCCAAAGATAAATGAATGATTATTTAATGATTATTGTTTTGTGTTTCCCGACATTAAGTCGGTCGTCAATGCGCTGTCGTATTGTCGAAATGAGAAAAAGAGAAAAAAAAGTAAACACAAATACAAAACAAAAAAATGTCTGTGGACTGGCTACAGCCTTAGCGGGTAATAAATCTGTTTTTAGGACGTCGGTATTATCTCTATGGACAAATTTTTTAAAACTGTTGTTCTGATCTTTAGTCACTTTTCTTTTATTCAAGTCTTCTAACATTCCCATTCATGAAGATTGCGCAAGATGCTTTAACGACATGAAAATCAACAAGAAATATGGCTACATGATCATGTCGATCAAGGACAAGAAAGAGGTGGTAATCGATGAAGTCGGAAAGCCGTTTCCCCCGGACTGCACCCAAAGGGAAAACGAAGAAGTGTTTAACAGACTGAGAGAAAGGATTCTGGCTAAGGAGCAAGAACCTAAGTACCTATTGTTTGATTTTAAGCTGGAAACTAGTGATGGCCGAAGAGAAAAGATAGCATTCATCAACTGGTAAGTTCAGTAAGTGCTTAGGAAAACATGAATTAATTAAGTTACAGCAGTCTTAAGTCTTGATCTCCACTGGCACGTACGTTATCTTGAACAGAACAGTGGGTTTCTATATATTATACTATTACGCGCGACCAATGCGTTATGGTTCACGTGGTCCGAGCGAGATTTTGAGGCCGTTCGTCTCGGATGCGTCCCCAAATCGTTGACCGAGAAGGCCTGGGAATACACCGTACAAGGACTCGGTAACATTTGGTACCATACTACCACTTACCTGACCACGTCAGGTACTCTGTTCTTCTAGATTGAAGATCTTTTTGCGTCATTTCAAATGCTCTCTCGTCCTTGCTCGCTCTATAAAAACTAACCCAAAAAACTAACAATCAGCAGCAGAGGGAGCCCATCAGGACTGAGTCTGGTACATGTCAACTTTGCTGGTGAAAACTGTTTCGAGTGTAAGCTTCATTTTTTTAGGTGCTCTGACAACTGTTTGGTCGATAAAAAGATGGTACAATCAAGTACTGCGGATGCGTTAAAAAAGGTTCTTCAAGGTGTTAGTGCGCACATTCAAGCAAACGATGCTGACGAGTTGGAATATAATGAAATCGCCAGGGAAGTTACACGGAAAAAGTAGAGATTCAAATTACATTTTCATGGTGGCAGGCACTCTAACTATCAGCGGCCATGCATGAATATCGTGTCAAATAAAATATTTGTTTAACTGTTATAAGGCGGCTTAATGTTACATTTGTACTTTTATAGTGTATTTTTGAAGGAGTACACGCCAAAAAATTTGTCACACTAAGTCATTTCCCTCAGTCTCCAAGCCCGCTAGATCACACTTGCCCTTAACGATTGTTTATCTCCTCTCTGGATCACAAAATGCAACGGTACAACTCACTCCCAGGGCGACGTGGCCATATGCACCAAATACTAGCTACATAGTCATAAAAAATCGTCGGGGAGCATGACGTACTGAAAAGTCTAAAAGAAAGGAAAGTATTGGGTTCTGTACCTTGCTATCACTGATGAACACATAAGAACAAAATTCTGGAACAATTGTCGCGTTTGTCAGAACGCATCCTAATCTTGGTGCTCATGTGGTACAAAGCCAACCATTTTCTAGGTATCACGGGCGACTGCAAATTACCCGCCCCTATTAATTTTATCAGGAGCATCTCGGCTGGGAAACTGGACTCCTTTCGACTCTATTACGTTTCCTTTAGTGAGGAACGCGGATCTGTAATCAATGATTAGCTCTAGTTTTAGCAGACGCTTTAGTATTCCCAAGTCCACGGCAAGGTGGAGAAAACGAACTTAGATAAATTAGAAGGACTGACCTTTATTTAAAAAAGGTACGAGAATCAGTTCCTTTGTTTGTGTCGGAAACACACGTATTTCCTATCATTTTTTGATGTAGGCCATCTTATATAGAAGCCCCTAAAACAGCTAAAACACTGACCCATTCCCATCCCGGAGGGGTACTCACCTATAAAATTGACGGGGGTGCTCGTCGGAAAATTTCGAGAACACCCCGAAAAGATACAAGAATCTTGTTTTATGGGCGTGTCCCAAATTCATTTTCACCCCTATAAGAGTGTACTAATTCAACAACAAACTGGCACTGCAAATTTAATAGTAATAAAGAGTAACTTTCGAACACTTTCTTCTCAAGGACTTTTTGAAAGTATTGTCATAAATCTTTATCCTAATAAAGCGTATCAACTTTGGCAGCAGTCATTTTAGGTTTTAGCACCCAAAGCGTTACCAATCCACAAATTTGAACCCCTAAAAGGTACAACGAGAACCTCCGTCATTTTTATAGGGGAGTACCCCCTTCGGGGTTCTCAGTCGTCTTCGTAACGCGAACGGCGGGAGTAGCCAGAGAAGAGAGAGGGTGTCTCTTCCTCGCTTTCATACTTCCCAACACATCATGCGTAGTTCAATGAGAGACGGCAGGAGCCCATAACGATAAGTCCGATTAAAAGGTACTGTGACAGTACAGCTTGAANTCCACACTTCCACACCTCTGAGAAGTGTGGAACTAAGTAAAGAATGACAAAGGGTTCATGACTGGGGGAAAAGTGCGACAATATCCTTACTTTGTCAGACTACTCCACACTTCCACACCTCTGAGAAGTGTGGAACTAAGTAAGAAGTGAAGAAACTCTGGATTTCATGGCCAGGGCTGGACATGGCTCATAAAATTGACGGGGGTGCTCGTCGGAAAATTTCGAGAACACCCCGAAAAGATACAAGAATCTTGTTTTATGGGCGTGTCCCAAATTCATTTTCACCCCTATAAGAGTGTACTAATTCAACAACAAACTGGCACTGCAAATTTAATAGTAATAAAGAGTAACTTTCGAACACTTTCTTCTCAAGGACTTTTTGAAAGTATTGTCATAAATCTTTATCCTAATAAAGCGTATCAACTTTGGCAGCAGTCATTTTAGGTTTTAGCACCCAAAGCGTTACCAATCCACAAATTTGAACCCCTAAAAGGTACAACGAGAACCTCCGTCATTTTTATAGGGGAGTACCCCCTTCGGGGTTCTCAGTCGTCTTCGTAACGCGAACGGCGGGAGTAGCCAGAGAAGAGAGAGGGTGTCTCTTCCTCGCTTTCATACTTCCCAACACATCATGCGTAGTTCAATGAGAGACGGCAGGAGCCCATAACGATAAGTCCGATTAAAAGGTACTGTGACAGTACAGCTTGAAAGCATTCTAAGTGGATTCACAAATGTTCTGATTCTTGAAAGCAACGACTAGCATCTCTGTTCTATCGGTCAATAGAGAAGAGAAGTGTGACGCCACAAAACTTTAACTCTGTGAAATTGTGAAATTGGTTAGCATACTCAGAAAGAACCAGATCAAAAGGCCCCCTTGCCAAAAATCAGCCTGCCAGTGCAAATTGTTGCGGGCACCGGTTTGCTCTGATGACTCCCTCTTATATAAATGGAGTCGCCGGAGAGCATGACGTTAACGATCTATACCTCCTCAGCAATTTGCGCTCAGGCTGATTTTGATTTTGTGACGTGTTCACTTTTCTTCTCTAAACCACCAGGAAAATTTCCCTGAAATGATGAGCGCTCAGTGCACAGAGACTTTATTTATGACACCTGTGGAACACTAGTTATGACTGTGATTCACTCGACTAACCAAGATGGAGTGGATTGAGTGGCTACTAAAGCACAAATATCCTATTCAATCCTATCCTTTTGGTCTTGCTGCAGTTCTTTAAAATTCAGAGCTTTTCTCTTTTACCAGCCTCAGGCTAGTATACTGCAACCTAAATAAGTATGAAAGTAAACTTGGAAGTATTAAAAAGATCTCATTGGGAACCAGGTTAAAAATCGCCGCTCGCAAGGAGACTGAGGTGAGAGTTGGAGAAACTCTCCTTCACTTGGGATGTTGCAGCCCGTACACTACCCTGCGAACAGAGTCTCCTTCGATCTTCCTAGATCCTAGATTGGGAAAGATCGAAGCGACTAGGCTAGCAGGGTACTTGTACACAGACGTTGTTTTATTTTTTTTTTCGTCCTTTGCGGTCAATGTTCCGTTTCCGTTTCCGTGATTGCGTTTCCGCTTCCGTGATTGCGTTTCCGCTTCCGTTTCCGTGATTCCGTTTCCGTTTCCGGATTCCGGATTCCGGATTCCATGTTTTTGTGCTGCCGTGAGCTAAAATCAAAAATTGAGACAAATAAAAGTGAAATTTTACTTAAAAAAGAAATAAAAGTACATTAAAGAATAGACAAAATAACAACAACAACAACAACAACAACAATAATAATAATAATAATAATAATAATAATAGTGATAATCAATAATAATGATAATAAACGAGCTACATTCCCGCCTCACCGCCAAAGACTGGCGACGAGTTGTAGGTGGGGCAAATATCGAAGATGGCACCTCGAGAACTATTTATGTTGCAAGAAATTGAAATTTTATTTACACGTACGTGATCGCTTCGATGAGGAAAGAGTTATCTTAAATTTTTGACCGTCCACTGTACAGCCATGAACAAAGTAGAGTTTGCTGTCTGTCGAATCAAAGAAAAGCTTCCCGGGAATCAAGGTTTTGCGACAAAGGGAAGTGGCTGTGTTGTTCACAGTGAGTCGCTTACTTCTTCGTGGGGTTGGAAATGCCATTATTTCATTGTCACTCCAAGCGTCGTGCTGTGTCGGGAAGATCTAGCTTCAAACAAGGTCTTTTTGGCAGAATTCCTGAGCAAAGATAAACGAGGACTAGAAACTTTTGAGATTAAGCAAATGGCCGAAGTTTGCAAGGATGTTGTTGGTCGGCGTTTGGATAGTGCTGACCTCGATCTATATCTGACCTTTTTATCTGTAGAACCGTTAGACAAGCGTGGATTTCTGAAAAGAATGGTCAAGAAAGGCAGTTTGCAAACCTACCGACCACTGGAAAGCCTGGAATCCGAAAATAAAACGATAGAAGAACTCACTGAAGGATTATTTTGCCATGTCATCGTTGACCTTTTTAGTGATCAAGAAGCGACAAACTCGCCATTCACAACTCAAACTTACAAACTCGTTTATGATTTCCAGACTCGCGAGTTTAGCCTTCAAGACTTTGGCGGAACGTTGATACATTTCAACAACGAAATACCTCCAATTGGCGCTGTCGTTTTCACCAAGAAAGGTGAATTCGCCGGTCTCCTGCGGAACTTTTCAAGTGACTCGGTGACAGCGATCTTTTTGCCGCAGCCCTTCAAAGCAGGTATAATTACCCTTTGCTCTGAAAATCAGTGATATCGTGCGATAATTGTTTTGAATCCGAGCCTGCCATTTAAATGATTGTGTTTTAAGCTTCTTACAGTTTTAATGACTTGTTTTGGAGTAATCTTGCTTTAATATGTATAACACACCGCAATTAAAATATTGTGACTTGTGATGTTAATAGTCTTGGTCAGCAATATTATCTAGAACTTTTCCGCAATATTTGCCAACAGAAACTTTAAGCGCTTAAGTTCCCCGATTAAACCTTATTTTTAGAGGTTTTGTGGTTAAGTTTGGAATAATTTCCTGCGTATAATGGTGCCCATACAGCTGTATTTTGCAGAACACTTATTGGCTGATTTATGATTTTATGTAAACACACTGCCTTTCGTGATGTTTTCATAACCCACTGCGTTCACCAATTTTTATTCCCTGAGGGTACATGAAGTGTGAAAGTTTAAATGTTTTGATTTCCTCTTTCTTCTTTGCCTTTCTTTTGCGACATGCCAGGCTATAAAAAAATTCAATAAATAAAAAATAACAAAATTATTCCAGCTAAAGGAAATTGGAACCTCAACATTCTAACCAACTTAGTAAATTGTTTATTCTGAACTTTGGAATTAATACATTTTAATAATAATATTGATTTTTGTTTTAGAGGATGGTGAGAGAGATGGCACAGCATTAAGCACTAGAGATGAAACAAGTGTTGAAATTAATGGAGATGTAACATCAGAAATTACCTTGAAACAGGAAATTCAACTTGAATCCCATTCTACCAAGTTAGTTGATGACACCCCTCATGCTGAAGGATATTCTGAAGATGTTTTTCCACAGAAAAATAGCAATGTATCACGACCTACTGATAATGATGTTGACAGAGGGAACAATAATTATCCTAACAGCGGGGATGTTATCCAAAATGGAGGTGATGATAGAGCTGGGAGACAAGACAACAGTGGTGTGCTTGTGGTCAAGCAGTTTCAACAATGTCCAGAAAATCTTATTCCTGGTAATAGAGCTGAAAATGTCGAAACTGAGATGTTGTTATTGTCTACAGACAACACAGTTGAAGTTAAAGAATGTGAAGAGAAAGGTGGATCAGGTTTTTTTGATGAGACAGTGAACAATAATTATTCTGATGCAGTGGAAGATATCCAGAAAAAGGCAGGAGACTCTGGTGAGAAGCAAGTGAGCTGTGATGGGCCAGGAAAAGCATCTGTGGAGACAACAGTTCTGGAGGAGGGACAGGTACTTGTTTGCAAGACAGCCGAAGGTGATGATACAATAAAAAGTGCAAGTGATGTGCCAGAAAGGTTCTCTGATGTAGAAGTAGATCCTTACATGGAGGAAGAACCTTTAGGCCATCTTGATAAGCAAGAGACTAGTGTACTGGTACATGTTGGAGACCCTTGTTCACTTGAAAATGGATCAAGTGCCATAGAGGAGCTTCCAGATGAATCCCACGGGGCGGTAAGAGCTGCTGATTGTGAAGGCACCATGTCAGACTCAACTGAGACTGCAACACATGGTGGTGGAGTTGAAGTAGTAGATGAATCAACATCCAGGGAGAGCATCACAGGACATGACAGCAGTTTAATAACTGTCGTCCAAGGTATCACTCTTTAGTCTTTGTTATTCTTACAAATTTCAGAAAAATCATGCATGCATTTAGCAGCAAAATAATAACCAGCAATTAGGTAACAGTATCCTCGCAAGGTACAGACAGTATATAGCAGATGCGCAAATGATGACTTTCTTGTGTAGAAAAATAAATGTCTTCTAAGTGTCTTGTTCAAATGATTGTATGACTGGTGGCATGTGTGATTTAGGCAGTTGCTATTTCTTAAATGGACGGAAGCTGTGTCCTTTGACTATCCTGAGCGTATTTCATTACTGTCGAACATTTAGTTGAGTACACCTCTGGTAATCAAAGAGTTGATCATTTGTCCCTCCCGTTTTGTAGGTAAGATCTGTTCTCAGGTGAAACCCCTAGTCAACCTAGCTTTCATTTCGGAATGTCCTTTGTTTCCAAGCTCTAAGAATTATTCATAGGGGATAAAGGAATTTTGTTCTATTGTGAGAAAAGATTTTACCTACATTAGATACCTGACATTATCTGGTCAGTAGGGTGTCACCATACAGGCTTATTTCACTGTAATAGTAATCAAAGATCAATAAATAGGCCACTTCCGAGTTACAAGAACCCTCATTTTCAAAGGCTGATCCCTTGTCCTCGTTTTGATACAGAGGCCCGGGGAAACTCTGAAATGGTGTATTTAATTTTCCTTATTTTAATCTAATCTATTGCTGCCCACCTAAACTTTTCCTCCCTCTGCTCTATTTTTTCTGGAGAACCCTGGTATCCCCCTACCCCCCTCCCCCTGGCTGTCATTTGTCCAGGTTGAAAAAATTCTCAGGTTATGCTAGGGCATCCACTACTCTTGATAGATTCAAGACAAATTTGGTTACATTCTCTTTCATTTTTTTGCATTATGCTCTAGTAATATTTTTGTGATTGCAAGGTAGTCACACAATATTTGGTTAGTTGTAGAAAAAGGAATGAAATTGGTTTTTCACGGTATTGCTCTTTTGTATGTGTTGAAACATTAGTTACATCATTATATTGATAACAATGACTGATGTTACTTTTAGTGGATGGAACATCTCTACCAGTGGAAACCAACAAAAGTAAAGAACAAGGAGAGCTTGAGGACTCTGAAACAATTGTTTTAGAAAAGGTACCTTCAGAGAGTAAAGGTGTGTCTTCAGCAGAACAACCAGGCATATCTGGGGAACAGTCAACTGCATGTTTTTCTGATGAGGATGATGGACAGATTACAGACCTCAAGAAAGATACATGTATTCCTGCAGTTAATCCAGGTGTCATCTTTGAAGACATGCAAGTGAGTGCAAACACAAAAACAGAAGGTGCAGGTGAAACATATTCTGCCCAGGTGCCCGTTATCACTGTGGAGGCAAGTGACATTGATAATCTGGTTGGTACAAAACCAGAAGATTCATGTGAGACAGATTCTACTCAGATGCCTGGTAACATTGTTGATATTGAGCCAGGTGATGTTTATAATCTGGTCTCTGTAAAGCCAGAAGATGCGACTGAAACAGATCCTACCCAGATGCCTGGTAGCAGTGCTGTTGATATTGAGGCAGGTGACATTGATAATCTGTTCGGTGCAAAGCCAGAAGATGCAAGAGAAACAGATCCCACCCAGATGCCTGGTAGCAGCGCTGTTGATATTGAGGCAGGTGACATTGATAATCTGGTTGGCGCAAAGCCAGAAGATACAAGTGAAACAGATCCTACCCAGATGCCTGCTGGTAGCATTGTTGATATTGAGACAGGTGATGTTGATAATCTGGTCGGTGCAAAGCCAGAAGATGCACAAGAAACAGATCCTACCCAGATGCCTGGTAGCAGCGCTGTTGATATTGAGGCAGGCGACATTGATAATCTGGTCGGTGCAAAGCCAGAAGATACAAGTGAAACAGATCCTACCCAGATGCCTGCTGGTAGCATTGTTGATATTAAAGCAGGTGACATTGATAATCTGGTCAGTGCAAAGCCAGGAGTTTCAAATATCATGGATATTGGGTCAGGTGATGTTGACAATCTGGTCATTGCAAAGCCAGAAGATGCAAGTGAAACAGATTCTACCCAGATGGCTGGCAGCACTAACATAGCTATGTGTATTGAAACAAGTGAACAGGTATCTGGTGAGTTGGAATTAGTCACACAGGGCAACCAAGAATTTACTCGCGTTTCTGAAGTGACAGTCAATACCTCACATGACAGTTTGAATGTTTCTGTTTGTAATACTTCTGCAATTGAGGATATTACTGAAATAGGTTTAAAAGATGATGGTAATTTGAAAGAGGACAGTTGCAGCCGTGAAAGTGTACTTGAAAATACAAATGGAAAGGGTTCTTTAATTGACACTTCACAAATCATAGAAAGAAATGGTAGTAGACAACCTTTGCATGAAAATGAAGTTGAAGATGTAGCTGACACTGATGATTACAATCTGAAAGGAGATAATCAGGGCCATGATGATGTGGACACAAATCTTCATGAGAAAGATAATTCAATTGACGTTTCACAAACAGCAGAATCAAACAGTTTTGGAGAATTAAATGGCCAACTTGGAGAACCCTGTGTGGTTGAGAATGACGTGAGACCACATGAGGATTCGATTGATAGTGATGGTAAAAATAATGTGGAAAATGCATCTAATGAGACTAAAAATGTAGGTGAACAATATGAACTTGCAAATATTACGGAACAGTGTTCTCAGAAGTTAAACAGTATTCAAACCAGAGAAGATAATGAGAAAGTTGTGATGCATGAAGAAGTAAATAACAAAGTAACTGAACATGAACGTGACATTACAGAAACAACTGGAGTCAGTGAGGAATATGCTGACAAAGAGAGGATTTCATTTAAAAAGACATCTACTGAATATAATGACAACCATGCAAATAAGGAATTCCTTGAGGATTCATCACCATCTGAGGATACTGTTGCTGTGCAAAGAGTAGATGCAGGTATTGAGAATAAATTACATTTGTACTTAAATGCACTCCACTCCAGTATAACCTTGAAAGAAGACATTTTATTTACCGGTAGTTAGTTTTAGGTAAATTCTTTGGCCACCAAGGGCTGCTTGAGCACTGCCCTGAGTTAATAGAGAATGCACCCAGTCTTAAAAACACAGAGATATACCAAAATTCGAAGACCCTTTTTATGGAGGAATTATGTGACGGTCATTTTCCAAAATTTTATCCAGACTGGTCCAAGGGCTAGACAACTTGGAGTTGAAAACACTGCCTTAATCGCAAGAAAATTCAGTTATTCAGGTGCAAATATTCCATGTGAAAAGCAGGTTTAATTCCAGCTTTAGTTCCAGCAGTCTAAACGTACATTACATACATGTATTTCGGTTTTATCATTGCATTGGAACAATATTGTTTTTTTCTTAGCATGTACTGACAATGAATTGAGCAAACAAGAATATAAGTTGATCATTAGTTATGAATGTTCTTTCAGATGCTCTTCTTTCTGAAACTATTACAAACAGCCCCCACATTCTGAGAGATTTAGGATCCTGTTTAGATACTGAATACCAGTATGGTAAGGTACCATGTTGGAGAGACCTGGCACAACTTTTGGCCATTTCTCCAGAGGACTATGAAGATTGCACCACCTTCTCACTGACAAGCCCAACTGAGGATTTGTTCATGTTCCTGTCAGCAACAAAACCTCAACTTACAATTCAGGAAATTAAGGAGGCACTGAAAGAAATCGACAGGCTTGATGTGGCTCATCTTCTTGATAGGAAGATTGCAGGTTGGTCTCTTGAGTGAAAACAAAGAAAGCAGAAATAATAAGACTCAGTCACTGAGGATCATAAAAAATTTACCTGGTTTCCAAAGACACAATTATCATGAATGAACCTGCACATATTTTTTTGTAGAGGAGTGACCCAAAGTCTGCCAATAGCTAATCATTATTTTACACCCTTCCTGCACACATTATTTCCTAGTAACATCAACCACCTGGATCCTTCCATGTAATCCTTCAGACCCAGTGGTAGCAATTTCAGTTTTGAGGCATGTAGGTCTTCACTTGGCCATGAAATAAAAATATTTTTTGGTCTGATGGCTTCACTTGGGAATAGTCTGGACCCCATTCCCCTTGATCCACCACAGGGTGGCCAGGCGAACATTCTTACTGACGCAGTATTAGAATAGACACATATCTGTTGTAAGACTCATGATACGACTAATTAGGCCCTTTACAGAACAATATTTTTTGTCACATGCTTGGATACCGGTCGGCAACAGTGGATGGCAAGTCATGTAAGTGTTCATTCAGATCACAAAGCTTTGAGTGTCATCCATTGAAGTATTCCTAGTTTAATTATTCTGTTGAAGACTTAAAAGACGTTTAAATTAACGTAGAAAAGCTTCGCCTGATTGTACTCAAAGCTTTGTGAGCCATTGCTAACTGGTATCCAAGCACTTTACAAAGTTCTAGGAAGGGCCTATTTTCTCTGCGGCTTCTGATTACTGGCTGAGTGGGCCTTGTTTCATAAAACCATTTAACGCTAATTTAATCTTTTTTCTTTTTGTGATGGCCTACGGTTAACTGACAGTTAATTGGAAACTTATGTTAAACATGTTAAAAGGACATCTATTACGCCTCAAGAAACATTTTCAAAGACATTTTTTTGTGTGTCAGGAGTTGACTTATTCAATCAATTTGTTAATTTTTGTTATTGTAACAAGCGGTGATGATTCTTTTATTGCTAGGTGGTCTCATCAGGGAAGAAAGTATTCTTGGCAATCTGGTTGAGAGAGATGACACTGGTATTCTGGGCCGCATGGCAATGAAACTTGACAGAACGAAGACAAACAACTGGAAAGATCTTGCACTTCAACTGTGTGTACCACCCCGTGTGCTGAGGAACTTTGGGTCTCATCAGGGGCATAATCCAGCCTTAATGTTGTTCAAGTATATTCCAATATTTGATCCAGATGTGACACTGGATCACCTTAAAGGCTGTCTGACCTCAATTGGAAGACAAGATGCTGTTGCAGTTTTAGAAAAAGCCAGCATACCAGGTACTTCAAACAAGTAAACTTTTGTTTCATATTGAATAGGACAAAACAAATCAATTCTAGTCATTGCTTTTGACTTATGTGTGAGCCTGCACCACAGACAGAACTAAAATTCTCTCAGTCCATCTGCCAAACAGTACTAAAATCCTTGTTTTGGGCCCCTACCTGTGTACCAGGGTTTGAGTACGTGCAATGATTGGCCTTTAGAAAAAGCCAGTGTCAATTTGCCAATCTGGTTTAAGGGAAATTCAATACACATTTCCGTTTGGTGCCCAGAACAAGGATATCGGATTCAGTCTACTTCAAAGACGTTACTAACCGGCATGAGATTGTTTTCAGGTAATGGAAATTAAGGAATCTTTAAGGATTCCTTCTTGCTGACTGTTTGTTTTGCATTTGAAGGAGATGAGCCTGTCAAAGACATTCTCGATGATTCAGATCTACTTGATCGAATAACCGACATGTTGAATGATGACTCTACCCATCATTGGAGACACCTTGCGAGGGCACTCAATATTCCACCTGAAAAATGCAAGATCTTTGAACCAACAGAAGACAATAACAGTCCGACCAAATTGTTGTTCAAAAGCATTGAGAAGTGCGAGCCAGATTTGACATTTGAAGAACTTGTACTAGCCCTTGTAGCTATGAAAAGACAAGATGTCTTAGATGTCCTTCAAAAATATTTTTCAAGTAAGTTCAATTTTCTAGTTTGAAACCCTATGCATGAGTGCCGGGTACTTTCACAGGCAGGTTATCAGTAAAACTTAGTACTCTTTTTACTTTTATGTGGAATTTATTTTGTTTTACGTCACAAATAACAGGCCTTTTTATGGAAACATTTGTTTCTGGTAGTTATTAGACTGCAAAACAGTCCGTATTTTTGCGTATTCAAGCACGCGCGAGCAGTCAAACAAAAGGTCTGGAACGAGGTTGAAAACAGAGAGCGAGACTGGGGAGAGACGCTAAAAATACTCTTCGCGCCACGCCTTACCGATTTCTTTACTGATTTTGAGAAAAAAACCGACTGGTTTGCAGGCTAGGTAGTTATCTTCAAGTTGAAATTATTGCTTTAACCCCTCTAAGTCGATTGATCCTTCATCGTCACTTTATAATGAAGCGTAAATATCATGAAAATGATGGAAGTGATCATCAAAGATAATTAGACTACGAGTAGATCCCCATTTTTCCTCAGGGATAGTAGAGCGGGCGAAACGCGAGCGCGCGTGGAAATCACCCCACGCGAGAAAGGCGAGACGCGGTGGAGAGAGAGAAAATGCCGCGTGTCGCCTTTTCTCGCGTGGGCTGATTTTCACGAGCGCTCGATAGACCATTCGATAGATTTCACCAATATATCATGACTAGGAAAAATTCTAGACTCTGTCCCAGCAGTCATTTCGATTTGTAAAGTTGGGATGGAGGACGGGAAGGAGGAGGAACTGAAGTAAGGTAAATAGAGGACTGGTATCTAGCTTAAACTTTTGCTGACTGATTGCTATCATTCCCATTGGTCAAAATTTATTTATTGGTGACCATCGAGCAAACGTGAAACAGGTTGCTGGACAAAATTTAAAAGGTTCCAAATTTCTTTGACTCCTTTCTGGCTAGATGATTGGGGTTGTCTTCTCCTTAGTGGGCAAAATCTTCGTGCTCAAGCCTACAAAATCTGGTGCAAGTGGAAAACTGTAAAATCCCCGATCGTCTGGGATTTTCCTTAATGCCAAGCATAAAGTGTTTAGGCAGCGACGGACACTCTATTGGCTCAACTAACAGATGCATTGTTAGTTTTCGTTGTTTGAGTTCCATTGATCCAGTGATCTTTTTATTATATCAAGTGTACATGTTGATAATAAGACTATGTTTGTACACCAGGTGATGACATTGATCAGATTTTGGAAGAGAACAATCTCCTTACACCAGCAGAAGATCCGTTAGTGAACCAGAAGGAAATCTAGCGTTGTTCTCTTGGAAAAGAGAAGTAAAGAATGCAGCAAAGTTACCTGCTGGTAGAGGCCTCTTTTCCCTCTTTGGGACATGAGGTGGGCCTCTGTCAGCATGGAAGCAGCAAAGGGATTTCTTGTGTGAAGTTAGAATGTAGGATGTAATGTTCTTATTATACCAGTGGCATCTGAATTATGATGCACACAAAGAAAACTTTTCATGTTGAAAATGCTAAATGATCTCGATGCGTTAATGTATCTTCTATTTAAAAAAATAGATGAAGCAAGAAAACTATATTTTCAATTGCCCCTCTACATTTAGGACTAATTTTAGGTATTCAGTATGACGCCATTAAGGACCCTGAATTTTAGACCACCTGTTTGCACCCCCTTTTTGAACGAAGTTTCTTACATTCTTGCTCCGACAACATCAGAATAAAGTATTTCGTTTCGTGTATTCGAAAGGGACAGAAGGCAAATTGTTGTTGCTAGGAATATCTCTGGAAGGTCGTAATTGTTCACCAGTAGGCTGATTTATCAACAGAACGTGAACTTCAGTTATTGACGGTGCGCGCAAATCAAACAACTGGCTTGACCAATGGCAGAGCGGCAAATTGAGCACCGGAAGTCGCGTTTAGTCCTTTCCGCGCGCTTTCCCCTTTAGGATGCCTAAAATGTTTGCAATTCTACAATTAGTTTCGTCTCCATTGTTGCCGGCTTGACCATTTAAATTCTTGTAAGGTTCACAAGATGCTTCAAAGGTTTTGCCTCCATACTGAACACGCGCCTAGAACGGATGAAATCTTAGCTGATAGTTACTCAATTTTGTGAAACTTTCGTTGACAGTGAACAGTACCTGTGTGGTCTTTTCATAACAATATTTCATCAAGTGTGATTAATATCTAGGAAGTCTAATTTGGTCAAAACACAGCCACGAATCATTGTTTATTTATCAATTTATTTAGACGTGCTATGTAAGTTATAGAGATACATGTATTAATTAGGAACTTATTAAATTAATTTGTTATATATATTTTGAAGGCTTTTTCAAAAGGTTCAGAAGTAATTCCAAGGATATGTACAAATATTTAGTGATCTTGTAGACATTCAATGGCTGTATTTATTGTTATAAACATTTTGTATATGGTAATACAGTAGTTCTTTGTAAGATATTTTGTAAAGTATCTTTGCTTATTAAGTGATTGGTTGTTTAAATTGCTAAAATATATCACTTAAAAGTAGACATCAGCTACAAAAAGGTAAAACAGGGAGCAAAAGTGACCGCGCCCACTCGCTGTTTAGGCCAGCCAATAGTTGTGGGCTCATCAGCTCAGTTTCAGGCCCGACCGCTGGCGTTGTTAGATTTATCTCGTCACGCAACACTCCTCGGAGTATTGCTTGACGAAACAATCAGTTTTCAAGACAGTGACTGCAGCTTGTTTGAAAAAAAAAAAACAGGTTTGACTCTTTTATTGACGGCAAAGAAATGCCTTTTGTTGCTTTTTCTTGCTCTTTATCATCGCTGTCCTGATTACTTGAACTTGCTTGTTTTCGTTCAAGCAAGGTTTTTTTTTTCTCAGGTTGCTGTTTGCTTTCTTCGCGTCTCGTTCACTCTCCTTACTTAGTGTGAGCGAGACTGCTCACAGTCTACATCTCTTTTTCAGTAAACGTGTTGTGTGAGTTAATTTGTTTTACCGTTCTAATTTAATTCAGGGTTCTTACAGAGTCTTTAATTCTTGAAAAAGTCTTGACATTTGCCCAGCAATTTTCCAAACCTGAAAAAAGTCTGGAAAACAGAGATATAGTCTGGAAAAATAGTGCAAATTCTGGAGTTTTTTTTTTTTCAAAGCTACAACAAGTGCTTAATAAGTGATTTTTTCCCCGTGGTCAAATCTCATTTAATATCGCCCGTATTTTAATCACAGTAAGACATTCTCGATGATTCAGATCTACTTGATCGAATAACCGACATGTTGAATGATGACTCTACCCATCATTGGAGACACCTTGCGAGGGCACTCAATATTCCACCTGAAAAATGCAAGATCTTTGAACCAGCAGAAGACAATAACAGTCCGACCAAATTGTTGTTCAAAAGCATTGAGAAGTGCGAGCCTGATTTGACATTTGAAGAACTTGTACTAGCCCTTGTAGCCATGAAAAGACAAGATGTCTTAGATGTCCTTCAAAAATATTTTTCAAGTAAGTTCAATTTTCTAGTTTGAAATCCTATGCATGAGTGCCGGGTACTTTCACAGACAGGTTATCAGTAAGAAAACTTAGCACTCTTTTTACTTTTATGGGGAATTTATTTTGTTTTACATCACAAATAACAAGCCTTTTTGTGGAAAACATTTATTTCTGGTAGTTATCTTCAAGTTGAAATTATTGCTTTACCCCTCTAAGTCGATTAATCCTTCATCGTCACTTTATAATGAAGGGTAAATATCATGAAAATGAAGGAAGTTATCATCAAAGATAATAGTCTTTATTTATAAAAATTCTTGTGTTTAGAAATGTATGTTTCCCAACCATTCGATAGATTTCACCAATATATCATGACTAGGAAAAATTCCAGAATCTATCCCAGCAGTCATGTCGATTTGTGATGTTGGGCAGGGGACGGGAGGGAGGGGTAGGAACTGAAGTAAGGTCAATAGAGGACTGGTATCTAGCTTAAACTTTTGCTGACTGATTGCTATCATTCCCATTGGTCAAAATTTATTTATTGGTGACCATCGCGCAAACGTGAAACAGGTTGCTGGACAAAATTGAAAAAGTTCCAAATTTCTTTGACTCCTTTCTGGCCAGATGATTGGGGTTGTCTTCTCGTTAGTGGGCAAAATCGTCGTGCTCAAGCCTACAAAATCTGGAGCAATTGGGAAACTATAAAATCCCCGATCATCTGGGATTTTCCTTAACGGCATAAAGGCATAAAGTGTTTAGGCAGCGAAGGACACTCTATTGGTTCAAGTAACAGATGCATTGTTAGTTTTCGTTTTTTGAATCCCATTGATCCAGTGGTCTTTTCATTATATCAAGTGCACATGTTGAGAGACTATGTTTGTACACCAGGTGATGACATTGATCAGATTTTGGAAGAGAACAATCTCCTTACACCAGCAGAAGATCCGTTAGTGGACCAGAAGGAAATCTAGCGTTGTTCTCTTGGAAAAGAGAAGTAAAGAATGCAGCAAAGTTACCTGCTTGCAGAGGCCTCTTTTTCCTCTTTGGGACATGAGGCGGGCCTCTGTCAGCATGGAAGCAACAAAGGGATTTCTTGTGTGAAGTTTGAATGTAGAATATGTAATGTTCTTATTATATCAGTGGCATCTGAATTATGATGCACACAAAGGAAACTTTTCATGTTGAAAATGCTAAATGATCTCGATACATTATTGTATCTTTTGTTAAAAAAAATTGATGAAGCAGGAAAATTATATTTTCAATAGCCCCTCTACATTTAGGACTAATTTTAGGTATTCAGTATGACGCCATTAAGGACCCTGAATTTTAGACCACCTGTTTGCACCCCCTTTTTGAACGACGTTTCTTACAATCTTGCTGTGACAACATCAGAATAAAGTATTTCGTTTCGCGTATTCGAAGGGGCAAGAGGGCAAACCGTTGTTGCTCGGAGTATCTCTGGAAGGTCGTAATTGTTCACCAGTAGGCTGATTTAGAAACAGAACGGGAACGTCAGTTGACGACGGCGCGCGCAAATCAGACAACTGCCTTGACCAATGGCAGAGCGGCAAATTAAGCACCGGAAGTCGTGTTTGGTCCTTTCCGCGCGCTTTCCCGTCGTCAACTGACGTTTCCGTCCTGTTGCTAAATCAGCCTAGTAGGATGCCTAAAATGTTCGCAATTCTACAATTAGTTTCGGCTCCATTGTTGCCGACTTGACCATTTAAATTTTTGTAAGGCACACAAGATGCTTCAAAGGTTTTGCCTCTATACTGAACACGCGCCTAGAACGGATGAAATCTTAGCTGATAGTTATTCAATTTAGTGAAACTTTCGTTCACAGTGAACAGTACCTGTGTGTTCTTTTCATAAAAATATTTCATCAAGTGTGATTATATCTAGGAAGTCTAATTTGGTCAAAACACAGCCACGAATCATTATTTAATTATCAATTTATTTAGACGTGCTATGTAAGTTATAGAGATACATGTATTAATTAGAAACTTATTAAATTAATTTGTTGTATTTATTTGAAGGCTTTTTCAAAAGGTTCAGAAGTAATTCCAAGGATATGTACAAATATTTAGTGATCTTGTAGACATTCAATGGCTGTATTTATTGTTATAAACATTTTGTATATAGTAGTACAGTAGTTCTTTGTAAGATATTTTGTAAAGTATCTTTGCTTATTAAGTGATTGGTTGTTTAAAAGGGCTAAAATATATCACTTAAAAGTACACATCAGCCACAAAAAGTTAAAACAGGGAGCAAAAGTGACCCCGCCCACCCGCTGTTTAGGCCAGCCAATAGTTGTGGGCTCATCTGCTTTCGGGCTCGAACGCTGATATTACTAGATTTATCTCGTCACGCAACACTCTCCTCGGAGTATTGCTTGACGAAACAATCAGTTTTCAAGACAGTGACTGCAGCTTGTTTGAAAAAAAAAAAAAAAACAGGTTTTACTCTTCTTTTGACGGCAGAGAAATGCCTTTTGTTGCGTTTTCGTGCTCGTTATCATCGCCGTCCTGATTGCTTGAACTTGCTTATTTTCGTTCAAGGAAGATTTTTTTTCTTCTCAGGCTGCCGCCCTCTTTCTTCGCGTCTCGTTCACTCTCCTTACTAAGTCAGAGCGAGACTGCTCACAGTCTACATCTTTTTTTTCAGTAAATGTAGTGTGTGAGTTCATTTATTTTACCGTTCTAATTTAAATCAGGGTTCGTACAGAGAATTCAGTTCTTGAAAAATTTCTTGAAATTTGCCCAGCAATTTTCCTGACCTGGAAAAAGTCTTGAAAATAGAGATATAGTCTGGAAAAGTAGTACAAAGTCTGGAATTTTTTTTCTTCAAAGCTACAACAAGTGCTTAATAAGTGAATTTTTCCCCGTGGTCAAATCTCATTCCATATCGCCCGTATTTTAATCACAGAATGAGAAGTTTCATAATTCTCTATGTCCGCATTGCATCGTGGTTACCGTGCGTTTGCAGTGCATCATGAAAAAAGCTTGGTTCCTGCGTTTTTCAAGGTCTCTATTGATCACCCATTTGTTTTATAACCTTGAGTTTGGAAACTAAGTATTGTTTTGGAAAAAGTCTTGAATTTTGGATCCAAAAATCTGTATGAACCCTGCTAAATGCAATTCTCTGTTTACAACAGATGTCTAATCTCATACGATTGCAATGTACCATTAAAGTTCGTTATTAAAATTGATCAATCGAGTGTTTAAAGACATGTGTCTGTACTTGGATAGAACTTATAGTTCCTTGTCCAGGGGCGGATCCAGGATTTTTTTTAGGAGGGGGTGCACTCGTCTCTTGCGCTACTTCAACACCAATAAACCACATAATTTTTTTTTCTGCAGAATACCAGTTGTATTAGAAAACCGTAGGTCATCTCAGGGGAGGGTGCGCACCCCCTGCACCCTCCCCCTAGATCCGCCCCTGTTGTCAGTTGTCGTTTATATGAGCAACAGCAGGGTACTAACCATCAGTTTTTTTTCCATGACTTCTGCAAGGTCCATCATATCTCCATCTTCGCATGACTTTGAAAACCTACGCTTTGACTCTTTTTATAACATGAGCACAGGTTGTTGAAGTGTCAACAACGAGTAGGGGATTTTCTCAGTACTATAAAGTAATACTGTTGCGTCAGTCAACGTCATTTTGGCGGGAAAACGTGATAGCCGTCGTCATTCTACTACGAGTTTTAACGAAAATGTCGTAGACTATCGTGGGCCGGGGCGGGAAAAAATTATCAAATTTTAAATAGAAGTTTTTAAATCAGTTTTGAGACCGGGAGTGGCTAGGGCTAAACCTTCTCCAATAAAATTAACCGCACTATTTTTTCAGGTGAAAAATAGTACAATGAAGCTTTCCGGGTTGAATATTTTCGAGAATTCGGGAAAAAAACTTCCAGTTAAATCTCTTACTCGTAGTCGTCTTCGTCCTCAAATCTAAAGCTCTCTATTAAATGGCCAGGGGAGAAGGTGCCAAGAGCTCCATTACATAACCCCATACCTGCCAACTGTCCCGGTTTCGGCCCGGGAGTCTCCAAGTTTTTCATCAAATCTCCCGATCTCCCGGTTAGAGCACCAAATCTCCCGGATAAAATGGACTTTTGAGCATTTCTGTCCTTTAGTTTGAAATTTAGTCCATTTTTTCACAAAATTCTAACTTTTTTTATTCATTGTACAGTTTCTGGGACATTTTTGCACATGTTTACTTAATGACAAAGATTAGTTCGTCATTACAATGATGAAAGCGCATTTTGATCCCATGTACGTCGTACATTTGCCCAGCAATTTTCCAAACCTGAAAAAAGTCTGGAAAACAGAGATATAGTCTGGAAAAATAGTGCAAAGTCTGGAGTTTTTTTTTTTTCAAAGCTACAACAAGTGCTTAATAAGTGATTTTTTCCCCGTGGTCAAATCTCATTTAATATCGCCCGTATTTTAATCACAGAATGAGAAGTTTCATAATTCTCTTATGTCCGCATTGCATCGTGGTTAGCGTACGTTTGCAGTGCATCATGAAAAAAGCTTGGTTCCTACGTTTTTCAAGGTCTCTATTGATCACCTATTTGTTTATAACCTTGAGTTTGGAAACTAAGTATTGTTTTGGAAAAAGTCTTGAATTTTGGATCCAAAAATCTGTATGAACCCTGCTAAATGCAATTCTCTGTTTACAACAGATGTCTCATCTCATACGATTGCAATGTACCGTTTAAAGACGTGTGTCTGTACTTGGATAGATTTTGTAGTTCCTTGTCAGTTGTCGTTTATATGAGCAAGAGCAGGGTACTCACCATCAGTTTTATTTCCATGAGTTCTGCAAGGTCCATCATATCTCCATCTTCGCATGACTTTGAAAACCTACGCTTTGACTCTTTTTATAGCATGAGCACATGTTGTTGAAGTGTCAACAACGAGTAGGGGATTTTCTCAGTACTATAAAGTAGTACTGTTGCGTCAGTCAACGTCATTTTGGCGGGAAAACGTGATAGCCGTCGTCATTCTACTACGAGTTTTAACGAAAATGTCGTAGACTATCGTAGGCCGGGGCGGGAAAAAATTATCAAATTTTAAATAGAAGTTTTTAAATCATTTTTGAGACCGGGAGTGGCTAGGGCTAAACCTTCTCCAATAAAATTAACCGCACTATTTTTTCAGGTTAAAACTAGTACACTGAATCGAAGCTTTCTGGGTTTAATATTGTCGAGAATTTGGGAAAAAAACTTCAAGTTAAATCTCTTACTTGTAGTTGTCTTCCTCCTCAAATCTAAAGCTCTCTATTAAATGGCCAGGGGTGAAGGTGCCGAGAGCTCCATTACATAACCCTGAAGGGTTGGAATGATGCCACACGGGGACTGGGCACAGAGGAGCTAGATAAACACGATCCAAACAGATTTTGAGACTAAGACTAACCTTTCTCCGTACCACTTCTGGAAGGTGCAAATGTCGGGGCAATGAAAATATTTTATCTTTCTGCGTTATTTCGAGTTATTATCAACTGGTCACATTCTGGTTTCCTTCGCTCATAATGAAAGAATTTCTGTAAAATTTTTGGTGATATTTTTTGTGTGGGGTGGGTAAGATAGGACAGTTTAATGCGAAATTCCTTTTTTATTTTTATTGTCATACCTTGCCTAATTCATGTAGTATAGAATTGGCTTTTGTCTTTTTCTATCCGAATCCTAAATTACATATTTGCAATCATTGGTCCAGTAACACCAGTGGAACCGACTGAGCCAAATGTCTCCGATTTCCATTTCTGCCATTTCGACCGTTGATTGCAAAATGATGGTTTACTATGTCCTTCTCCCATTGTGACAAACAAACAAGCAAACAAACACGAAACAAAAATACGATGAGCAGGAGACAGCGTGGCCGAGTGGTTAGGGCGCTGGACTTGCACTTCGGAGGCCCCGAGTTGAAATCCCGCCATGATCGCTAGCTGGATTTTTTCGGTGTAGCCCTGATTTTAACCTGCACACAGACGCTAAGTTGTTTTATTTTTCTTTTCGTTTTTTTTGAAAACATCGGCGTGCGCGAGAGTGAGCGCCTACCACTACCCCTTTGCGCTGGCGATCAATAAATCCCCCGTGTTAGAAATTATTGCGTCATTGTGGCGGGAAAACTCGTCACGTGATCTGAAAACTGAGCTTTTTGCAAGAGTCTTAGAACTGTGTAGTCGTTCGGAGGAGTCGTGCAGCTGATCAAGTGTGTGGATTGAGTTTAGATCATCGAATTTTTACGCGGATTGATGTCGATGAATCCTTTAAGTGTAGAACAGAGTACAGAATTCTAAAACATGAACATGTGAAGAAATATGCTTTAATTGGAGTGAAGAATAAAAGCTACAGAGAACTGATTATATATACAACATTTGGTTACACCCCGCAGTTTTTTTTTTTTCACGCGCGCTCGACGGACTTTGAAGAGAAAAAAGGGGGTCTGTGAACAGGCTACCCCTATTTCAAATCAAAAAATGAGAAGTGAAGGACTGTGAGAAAGTCTAGACCTGATCCCCCGGGGGGGGGGGGAACCCCCTAAATGGGCCATATAGGTACGTGCCCCCCATAGGGGATGGGTTTTGGGGTTTCCGGTCCTTTAAAAGGGGATTTTTTTTTGCCCCTTTGTTTTTTGTGTCCTGGGGTGGGCCTTTGGAGGGGTTGGCTTTTTTTTTTTTCTAATAATGGGAGTTTGAAACGCTCAACTAAAACAACGGGT